GGGATGAAATTCGGTCCTATCATTTCTGCTTCATTTGTGTTGACGGTTGCAGGTGTTACGTAACCGGTGTCGGCGAAGTGGTAGAAGACTTCGGCGTTGTTACTGTCGCGAGGATTTTCTTCGTCCATGGGCACGTTGACGGAGCAGTACGGGAGAGGTCCGGCTTCTGCCGATGCGTTGTCAACATTCTGCTCGTCCCAGTCTGCTTCATCCGCTGCTGACGCGAAGGCTCGGTCACCACGAAAACCACTGGTGAGGTCCCGATTCTCGTGCAAGTTGGCGAGGTACGTCTGAAGGGTGAGTCTTTCGTAGAAGATCACGTCACGTGCTGCTACTGTTTCCTTTGTGTGGACGTCGAAGATTCTCCATGCGTTGTAATTTTTCTCGATGCCGAGGTGTAGTCCCCACTGTGCCCGTTGCGAAAATCTTCCCGCTCGTGCTTCTGGGGGTCTGTACTGTACCATGCACCCGAAAACTCGTAACATTTTCGTGCTGCCCTGCTTCCCTGTCCACAGCAGATGCGGTGATGCGTTGTTCGGGAGTGACGACGACGACAACAAGTTATGCAGCATGACAGCGTGGTCCATTGCTGCTGGCCACTGGTGGTTGGGTAGCCGCATGCCACGTAACAGTTTGCGCATGCTGTTCTGCAGGGTCCTGTTCAGTCGTTCTGCAACACCTTGCTGCTGATGTGCGTAGGGAAGGGAGAGGAGTTGCTTGATCCCCCTTTCCGCCAAGAACTGCTTGAAGCGGTGAGAGGTGTACTCGCCACCTCCGTCTGACTGGAAATTTTTCAGTTGTGTTCCAGACTCTCTCTCTGCTATCGGTAGCCAGGCGGCGAATGCTGCGAGCGCCATGTCGCGGCTGGGTAGGTTGCGATGCCAGACGTATCGAGTGGCGGCGTCGATGAAGGTGATGGTGTAGTTGTAGTTGACTTGTCCTGGTTCGCGATTGTAGAGGATGTCGCTGTAGACTTTTTCGAGTGGTGCGTACGCTGGAGCGCTCGGGTTGTGATGTGAAGCAAACGGTCGATGAGGTAAGTCAGCTTCGGGACATATAAGGCAAGTCCCTCGTGCCTTCTGGAGTTCTCTGCCATCGGGTAGAAGTAGAGAATCTTTGTCAAGGACTCCTGCTCTTATCGTGTTATTCAAAACCGTGTTGCTTGGATGTCCTGTTCGTGCGTGCCAGATCTCTTCAGAGGCGCGGTGTCCAGGTGAACGCTGATATGCGTCGGAGTTGGAGTAAAAGCTGGTGACGAGGTTGGCTCTTCGGTGGACTTCACGTTGAGTTGGATTCAGCTGTTGCGCGGGTGTTGGTGGTGCTTCGTCGACTGTGACTGGTGTCGTTGTTTCTGCTGCTGCTGATGTTGTTGCTGCTGCCGATGTTGTTGCTGCTGATGCCGATGTTGTTACTGCTGCCGATGTTGTTGCTGCTGATGCCGATTGTCGAATTGTTGCTAATGCTCGTGTTCGTTCTGCTTCAGGAATGGTGTGCGAGTACCAGAAGCCTCCCGGGCTGAAGTCGGGGTCGAGATCCGGAGGGTGTGTCCAGTCAGTGAAATTCACGATGGCGTCGCTGTCTGCAGTGCCCAGGTCAGGAACGAAGTCGAGGACGAAGACGTTGTTCTTCAGCACTGCTTTTCCGATGTAGAGACCGCCTCTCCCGTGGTAAAGCTTGAACTCCTGGGTCGTGCTGTCGGCTTCCAGATGAATTCCTTTCGCCATCAACTGGCTAACGCTCAGTAAGTTGTAGCCGAGTCCTTCAGCGATGAGTACCTTAGACATGTGCAGTATGACGTTTGTTTCTCTTGACTGAAGCCGTACCACTCCTTGTCTTCGTGTGCGCAGGTTTTGGTTGTTGGCAACCGTGATGATTACTTCCCGTTGGAGTCGATGTTCGCGTTGTACGAAACGCCCGGACGAGCACATGTGTTGCCCGCAGCAACTGTCCAAGAACCAGGTGTCTTGGCCGGACGGTTCACTTTGAGCGATGGCGGCGTACGTTGGATTCGCCTGGAGTAGCTCACGGCGAGGCGTTCTGTTGTCAAGCTCTTCTTCCGGTGAGTAGTGTGGTGGTGATTCGGTTGTACACGAATCGGTTATCTTCGTCATGCAGTTGATTATATTTCTTGCTCCTCGTGCAGGTTGTCCGGGTGAAGTCGTTGAAGTTTGAATAGTGGTCGTCGCACTTGCTTGTGTTGAAGCCATTTGGGAGCTTGAAGATCGAAGTTGTCGCTGTGGTGCCGTTGATTGCTGACGATTCGGGCAGTGTGTGCGCGGGTGCCCTGAAGTCTTGCAGATGTGGCAGAAAGGAGGTACTATCTTCGGTTGCTGCTGTCGGTTGTTATAATTGCAGTGTCGTCGTTGAGTGTGGAATGCGAACTCTGATACTGTCGTTTTCTTCCTGTGTCGTTCTTCCTGCAGGTCCATATCTTGCTGCTCGGCATGTATTTCGGCGCAGAGTGCAGCTTCAGAGATTCTTCCGTGGGCTCGAAGAATGGCTTTGGTGGCGCGCCACTGAGGACCAAGCCCACCAATGATGATTGTCACGAAGGCGTCTTCAGAGATTGACCCTCCGCATCGAAGCAGCTTGTCGCGCAGTTCGCGACATCGGCTGATATACGCCAGTCCTTTTTCTCCTGGTTTCATTTCGACTGTCGTCAACTGCGCCATTAACCTGCTCTGGTTTACACTGTCTGTTGCTTGATACAGGTTCTTCAGATGGCTGTACGCGAGCTCCGCCGAGTTGCCGAAGGTCCGGTAAGAGCGAATGTTCTGCTGCTGAGTTGGTGTCACGTTCCTCAATAGGATTGTATACGCCATCATTGATTGATACGTATACTGCTGCTTTTCATATTGTGTCCCGTTGGCTGGATACTGCAGGGACCCGTCGAAGAAGCCGAGTATCTGCGCGCCCTCCATCATCAGCTCGAATTCAAAGGACCAGGTAAAGAAGTCTTTGCCGTCGAAGGGTCTTGACGTTTGCAGTTTTAAGACGTGTGCAAACTGCGACTGAACTTGAAGTGCGTCCAGTGGTCTTTCTTGTCCAGGTGAAGGTTGCGGGTGGGGCACGAAGCTGATTGACCCGCGCTCGTATGGAGCAAAGGTAGGTTGCTGCTGCTGGTTTCCTCGCGCATATGACGACCCATCAAGACTCATGGGTGTCGCTCCGTTGTTGCTGTTGTGTGTTTGTGCAGGTCCCGACTGCTGGTGTTGTTCGTAGAAGGACATGAAGGAGAAAAATTTCTCCATCATGTTCTGGTCAAAGTCCGAAGGGTGGTTCATGGGGGTCTCGGTTGACGTTCCTCTTGGTCTTGTTGCCGTGCCTTCTTCTGTCTGCAGGCCAGAGGCTGGCGGTGGAGTAGGAGTAGTGCCCGAGGAGCCATTAGGGGAGCTTCTTTCCTTTTTTGTTGCCATGTCTTGTAATGATCTTAAAAGGAGTAGAGTTTCCCTTGTCTGCTCTCATACCATGTTGGGCTGAGATAGCCCCTTAGGATCTTTGCAAGAGATATCTCAGCGACCTTTGACTTTCTCGTAACCTCCAGGCGGTTACCCTAACCTCCGAGGTTGACTCGATGCTTCGATTGGGACTGCTTCGCTTGGTGCCTTGGGTTTTGATACGACAGAAGCGCACTTAGGACTTATTGTTTCCAACATACGGTATGTCTCATATGGTGTATTTAGGGTTAGGAAGTGGCATGCTTGTTTTTATTTACATCTTGTGGGGTTTAGTGTCATTGTTGGTGTATCTCTGACTTGTTTGGGGCTCACAATGCAAGCAGAGCATAAACAAACGCTACTTAGGGCCCAGTAGGGTTCTGCTACCTCCCAGTATAGTTTCTGCTTGATTTGATTTTGGCCTATTTGAAATTGATGTTGTTCTGTTCAAAGGGATGCACAGTATACATCTTTCACACCCAGACTTCGTAAATAATGATTGTGAAACTAACAGAACCAAGTACCGTAGGTACAATGCATAGCGCAACTTAGGTACTACAAGTGATTTTCTTGGCTATGGTTCTCCTGAATGGCCAGGCTGCTACTAAACTACCGCTACTGCTGCGCCTATAGAACCTGGTACACTACAGGTTGTGGTTGCAGCACCACAGCTTCGACATCCCTCCTGCTGCTACCATTGCTCCTGCTGTTGCTGCTCTTTCTACTGCTGCTTCTGCTTCTCCCACTTATGCCTGCCCACCGTAGCACTCAGTTACACGATTCTTGAGTCGACTCACAACCCTCCAGCCCTGCCGCCTGCCTCTCTTCACTCCAGTCCAAATGGAGCCCACCCCCCCCTAGTCTCCTATGCAGAGGACTCTTTTCCGAGTCGGTTCATTCCCATGCCTCCCTGCACCAACCCATGCCACCTGCTTCTCTTCCCTCCTCTCGTGGGGTAGCAATTTTTCCTCCCACTCCTTCCCCCCCTCTTCTCCCACCCCCTTCTCCCCTCCTCCTCTGCAAGTGATAGCTCGCCGAGCCTGTCTACGGCGACACATCCTTTATCCCCTGACACCACGCTGGCACCTCTCCCCGACAACTCCCTGACACCAGCCCGACACCTCCCTGACACCCACAACTGTTGGTGTTACAAAACCAGCCCCTCCAGATTCTCCTTTTCCTGCAGCTCCCCACCCACCCCACCCACCCACCCTCATGCGCACACTGCAGCCTTACTCACACCTCACCCACACCTCAGCCGCACCTCAACCGCACCTCAGCCGCACCTCAGCCGCACCTCAACCGCACCTCAGCCGCACCTCAACCGCACCTCAGCGGCACCTTAGACCACGTCCAGACCTCGCCCATACTTCACCCAAACCTCAACGGCACCTCACCCACCCCCTTTAAGCCGCTGGGATTCCTATGGGAAGCGGCCTCGAGCATCTGAAACCACTCCTCCGTCGCCCAGCACCCCTCGCCCGCCCACTCATTGCCGCCCTGCTGCAACCCCCCACGCACTCCACCCACTCACCCACAACCCACACACCCCGCACCCGCAATCTAACTCTCCTCCACACCCTGCGGAACCTTATGAGAGGCAGCCTCGAGCATCTGAAACCACTCCTCTGTGGCCCGGTCCCCCTCGCCCGGCCCCCACTCGTTGCCGCCCATGCCCTCGCCCTCCTCGCCCGCGATGAGCTCATCAGCCACGCCCTCGTCTGCAATGTCAAACTGCTGCGCGTACTGCAGCAGCTCCTGCAGACTCTCTTTCTCCCTCTTCAGCATGGTTACTTCCCTCGCCAACTCTGCTTTCTCCCTCAACAGGCGCTCCACTTGCATGCGCAGCTGCAGGGGGGAAGGGGGGGAGGGGGGGAAGGGGGGAGAAGGCATTAGAGGGTTGGGTGGGAGGGAGGAAGCGCAAGGGGGTAATGAGTGGGAGGGTATGCAATGTCAAACTGCTGCGCGTACTGCAGCAGCTCCTGGAGAGACTCCTTCTCGCGCTTCAGCATCGTCACTTCCCGTGCCAGCTCTGCCTTTTCTCGCAGCAGGCACTCCACTTGCATGCGCAGCTGCAGGGGGTAAGGGGGGGAGGGGAGGAGAAGGCAAAAGAGGATTGGGTGGGAGGGAGGAAGCGCAAGGAGGTAATGAGGGGGAGGGTATGCAATGTCAAACTGCTGCGCGTACTGCAGCAGCTCCTGGAGACTCTCCTTCTCGCGCTTCAGCATCGTGACCTCGCGTGCTAACTCTACCTTTTCCCTCAATAGACGCTCCACTTGCATGCGCAGCTGTGAAGGGGAGAGGAGGAAAAGGGGAGGGTTGGTGAGGGGGGGTGGGGGCCACGAGGGGAGGGGGGAGAAAGAGAGGAGATGCGCTCGCAATCAGCTAATCAGGCACATCCTCACCCGCAATCAGCTCCTTCTAACAGCCTTCTTACAGTAAAAGCCCTCTTACACAAGATGAACATAACTAGACAACGTGAAGGTAAATCTCACATTAGAACAACGTTCCCACATGGAAGGTGTCCTCCTGTGAGTTCCGCAGCCCCTCGTTATCCTTTTCCAGCCACTCCACCTACTGCTTCCGTTCCTTGTAACAAGGAGATGTAACTCTAGGCACATGAGCACGCCTCATTCTCACAGTGAAGGTGGTTCTAGAGCCAAGAGCACACTCGTTAGACTCACAATGAAGGTGTCTTCCTGCGAGTTCCGCAGCCCCTCGTTATCCACCTCCAGTCGCTCCACCTGCTGCTTCAGCTCCTCCACCTCCTTGGCTAGATCGCTCTCCTCCTTGCGCGATCCTGACCGTACATATCGCTCACTCTTCGGCGCCTTCTGAAACAGATGGCAAGGGGGAGGGGATGGGGAAAACGGGGTGGGGAAAGAGTGGTAGGGACTTTTTGCGGTGCCTTGAGGCGCCACCTGCTGCTTCAGCTCCTCCACCTCTTTGGCCAGATGAAAAGAGGAGTGTTTTGAGACGTCTCAAAACACTCCTCTTTTCGCGCTCTCCTCTTTCCGTGACCCCGACCGCACGTATCTCTCACTCTTAGGAGCCTTCTGAATCAGATAACAACAGAGTCGGGTGGGTGGGGGATGGGGTGGGGGAGGGGTTGTCTGAGGTGCCTTGCTGCTCCGCCTGCTGTTTCAGCTCCTCCACCTCCTTGGCCAGATCGCTCTCCTCTTTCTGCGACCCCGACCGCCCATACCGCTCGCTCTTTGGCGCCTTCTGTCCCACGATTGACGGGTGCGGGAGGGAGGAAGAGGGGGAGGGGGGTCTGTGTGAGTCTGCTTCTTCAACTCCTCACCTCCTTGACTAGATCGCTCTCCTCTTTCCTCAACCCCGACCGCACGTATCTCTCGCTCTTCGGAGCCTTCTGCTACGGGGGAGGAGTGTGGGGAAGTCGGAGTGGGGAAAGGAAGAGTAGGGGCAGTGTGAGGTGCCTTTCAGCTCCTCTCCTCCACCTCCTTGGCCAGATCGCTCCCCTCCTTGCGCGGCCCCGACCGCACGTACCGCTCGTTCTTCGGGGCCTTCTGGAGGGCGGGGGACGGGGTGGGGGGCGAGGTGGGGGAGGGGGTGGGGAAAGGGGGAGTATGGCTGTCTGTGAGGTGCCGTGCAGCTCCTCAAATCCACCTCCTTGGTCAGATAGCTCTCCTGCTTGCGCGACCCCAACCGCACGTATCTCTCACTCTTCAGAGCCTTCTGCCACAAATAACGGAGACGGAGGAAGAAGGCGGGGGGGGGGGGAGGAAAGGAAGCGGGGAGGTAAGGGGGAAGGGGGGAGGAGGGAGGGGGAAGGGGGTTTGGGGTTTTGCTCTCTTCTTGTCAAATCACTTTGAGAGTTGTGATCCCAGTGCTGTTGTTTGGATTGCCTTGTGGCTCTGCCACCTCCTTTGCCAAATCTCCCTTCTCCTGTATGAAACCTCAAGCCCAAAACCCTGAGAGTGAAACCCTAAACCCACACACTGGCTGCGCACTTGTGTGGCGCCATCTCATCTCCTATCCTCCGCGTACTTTGACAAGCCCTTAACATGCATCACAGATCCCACCATCTGTCTCCCCCTCCCTCCCTCCGCTTCCCTTCCCCTTCCACGTAACAATTTTTGGGGCGCCTCATAAATCGGCTTCTTTTATAGAATTTATATCATTTCTTGCCTCCCTTTCTGGCTCTCTCCCTCTCTCTTTTTTTCTCTCTCTCCTTCCCTTCGCCTCTTATTTTGACATACCTTCCCTGCGCTGCCAGGGTCTCTATACCCAAGTTGCTTGGGTGATTCCGGAGGAGGCCCTCTTGTTACCACCTCCTCCGCTATTTCAGGAAGCAGGCGAAACTCGCCTGAGAGAATGCCACCGGGGAGGGGCAACGAGGCGGGAAGAACAGGACAGGAGGAGATACAGGAGAGGGGCAAACACAGGAGAGGGGCAAACACAGGAGAGGGGCAAACACAGGAGAGGGGCAAACACAGGAGAGGGGCAAACACAGGAGAGGGGCAAACACAGGAGAGGGGCAAACACAGGAGAGGGGCAAACACAGGAGAGGGGCAAACACAGGAGAGGGGCAAACACAGGAGAGGGGCAAACACAGGAGAGGGGCAAACACAGGAGAGGGGCAAACACAGGAGAGGGGCAAACACAGGAGAGGGGCAAACACAGGAGAGGGGCAAACACAGGAGAGGGGCAAACACAGGAGAGGGGCAAACACAGGAGAGGGGCAAACACAGGAGAGGGGCAAACACAGGAGAGGGGCAAACACAGGAGAGGGGCAAACACAGGAGAGGGGCAAACACAGGAGAGGGGCAAACACAGGAGAGGGGCAAACACAGGAGAGGGGCAAACACAGGAGAGGGGCAAACACAGGAGAGGGGCAAACACAGGAGAGGGGCAAACACAGGAGAGGGGCAAACACAGGAGAGGGGCAAACACAGGAGAGGGGCAAACACAGGAGAGGGGCAAACACAGGAGAGGGGCAAACACAGGAGAGGGGCAAACACAGGAGAGGGGCAAACACAGGAGAGGGGCAAACACAGGAGAGGGGCAAACACAGGAGAGGGGCAAACACAGGAGAGAGGGAAACACAGGAGAGAGGGAAACACAGGAGAGAGGGAAACACAGGAGAGAGGGAAACACAGGAGAGAGGGAAACACAGGAGAGGGAAGACATGAGAGAGGAGGATCACAGGAAAGAGGGAAACGTCAGTAACATTAATTCTGAAGATTTGCATCACATTGAAGAGGAAAATTGGTCCATATATAGGGGTCTGCATTGCTCTTTACTATCACCCTCACCATGGTGCCCCCTGTGGCATGAAAAGTGGTCCTTTCCTTATATAGAGGGTTGGCACACCAGCGCTACATCACTCGTTACTGTCACACTCCTTAGAATCACACTTGATACACTCGTTTCTCACCGTGGTGCCCTCTGCGGCACTTTAACGAAAAGTGGTCCTTATAGAGGGGGTTGGTCCACCAGCGCTGCATCTTCAATGACTCGTTACTGTAAAACCAGTTATAATCACACTCGTTATAATCACACTCACCATGGCGCCCTCTGCGGCACTTTAGCGAGGAGAAGTGGTCCTTGTAGAGGGGGTTGGTCCACCAGCGCTGCAACTTCAATGACTCGTTACTGTAGAACCAGTTATAATCACACTCGTTATAATCACACTCACCATGGTGCCCTCTGCGGCACTTTAGCGAGGAGAAGTGGTCCTTATAGAGGGGGTTGGTCCACCAGCGCTGCATCTTCTGTGAGCTGAATGGGCCCTGCACCTCCCCGTGCATGTCCACGTAGAACCACTCCTGGTGGGTGGAGAAGGGTACAGAGGGGCGCAGAGGGGCACAGAGGGGGGGAGAGGGGCGCAGAGGGGCGTAGAAAAGGGAATGTTAGGAGCTGTGAGGCTGCAGCGGTTGAAGGGGCACTACACCTTCCCATGCATGTCCACATTGAGCCACTCCTGGTAGGGGGTGAAGGAGAGACACATGCGTGCTGAAGGGGCTGCCAGAACAGCGGCTCCTGCTCCTCCCCATACGGTTGAGTAGATAGAGCTCATTTCCTGAACAGAATATTACCTGCCCGGCACCGGCAGTCCTGAATGCAACCTCACCTGCCCGGGCGTCTTGAACAGATTCGTGATCGGGTCATCTGCGGGAATCAGGCTGACAACTGGCACGGCTGCTGACGCGGCGGCTGACGTGGCGCCAGCAGGGGACCCGTCTCTTCGCGGGGAGATCCCCGCCAGAGCAGCTGCTGACGCGGCAGTGGCGGCTTCCAGGGACACTGCTGTCCGCGAGGGTGTCCCTGCTGATGCTGCTGATGCGGAGCCATCAGGGGCCGCCTGGAAGGAATGCGTACGCAGCAGAGAGAGGGGAGTTGGGGGAAGGAACGAAGCAGTGGCGGCCTCTAAGGACACTGCTGTGCGTGAAGGGGTTCCTGCTAATGCTGCTGAGGCATTCAGGGGCAGCCTGGAAGGAGTGAAGATACGGGAGGACGGGGGGAAGAGGGGGGAAGAGGAGTGGAGATACGGGAGAACGAGGCAGTGGCGGCCTCCAACCTGACAAGAGTTGGGGTGCGAGGAGGGAGAAGGGGTGGTTATGGAGGGAACGGGGAACGGAGATTTTTCAGGAGTGATACAACCCCCTACTCCTTGGTTCACTCTACCCTAAAATTCCTGGTTCATTCACCTGCACGTGTTTCCCTGATGGCTCACCTGCCCATGTTTCCGCGCGCGCAGCAGCTGTCGCAGGTCCAGCACATCTCTCAGCGTGTGCCACCGCTGCGTGCCCTCCTTGCGAACCTGCACCCCCCCGGAACGAACGAACCCACAGATTTATTGAAGTCACACTCGCGGTTTTTCGCGACAAGATTCAAAGTAGACACGAGAACATGCTTGCGCTGGTTATACTGCCAGCGTCGCAACACGTAAAATCGCACATGAAGATGTAGTGTAAGCGAGGTGAGATGTCGTGGCATCGTACCAGGAGGTCGGGGGTGAAATGAACCGGTATAAGGCGTTTCAAATTAAGCAACGAAGGATGACGTCGTCGTCGGGCGTACCAGGAGGTCGGGGGTGAAATAACCCTTCTGAAGCGCCTGCGTTAATTGGAGGAGCGTCCGAGGTCTACAATGCGATACGAAGGAAAACGCCAAACGAAGAGAAGAACGAGGAGGTTAACAGAAGAATCCGGCCAACCGTACGAAATCGTATCAACAGCTCGAGGGAGACACGAGATCGTTCAGAAAGACGTTCGTGCGCCTCAAGGACGCATCACAGCCGTCCAATGCGCGACAGGCACCGTTCGATCAAGACAGGAGCACCGTTGGATCAAGACAGAGCACTGTTGGCTCTGGACAGGACCACCGTAGGATCAAGTGAGGAGCACCATTGGCACCGTCCGAGCCGACGTACCCGTGCTCGCCAGCCCAGTCCTGGTAGTACCACTGCGGTACGTTCTGCCCTGTCGACGGCCTCGCATGATCCCCCGCGCCGTCTGGCCCCCCCATGATCCTTACTCCGGATTCCGACTCCGGATTCCTGATTCCCGTATCTCGATTCCAAATCTTGATTCTCCCGACACCGATTATTCAAAAATCAACGTGCAGCTCTTAGAGATGAAAATATCCGTGCTTCCAGCTCTCGACGCGGTTTCACTGTTTCCGCTGGAGCAATGGCGTCTCTTCCTGGATTTTACGATTCTGAGGTTCTCTGTAAGGACACTAAGAGCAACGAGGCACACACAAGTTCTATAGGTAATGGTTGCGAAACGGATGGTTCGTTGGGAAGGAATGGAGGGAAATAATAGAGGAATCCTGTAATGTGGGTGCCATAAAGGATTAGTTTGTTTCGCATGTGTTTTATTCGGTCTAGTACGGTAATTGTGGCTCTTGGACATGGCTAGGAGGAATCTGGGGGTTCCATTCCATCCATCCCTCCCAAGCTTGAGAGGGGCATGACATGACATGGCCTTGGGCATGACATGACATGACATGGTATGCGTCATGTAGGGAAGAGGAGGGGTCGTAAGGGGGAAGGGCTCGGCGCGCCAGCAATAATTGAGCGCTGCGTGTGTGGTGCTGATACACTGGTAACTCCGCGCCAGCATTGCAGGAGGAAATTCCGCGCGGTCGCTGATCCAGATACACAAGCGAAAGGTGGTTGCGGCGGCACCCAGTTTGTGGGAGGGAAATCTGCGCGCCCGCCTTTTGGGAGTTACGCGCCAGCTCCTATTGCTTGTGGCGGAGATTACACCTCGAGCATCCCGCGTCAGCCAGGATGAATGGTTGGTTGCGGCGGGGAGGCGCGTGGATGTGACCGAGCCTGGTGCAGGGGCTCGACCATGATCGCTTGTTTGGGATATGTGAAATACGAGCATGTGATAAAGAACGATGAACATGTGAACGATAATGCAGTACACGCCTAAAAATGATGCGTCAGTGTTATACTTTGAAGTAAGAATAGATTATAATTTCACAACATTCATTACAAATAAATACGAGTCACTAACTACCTACCTACCTGGTGTGAGAATGGGCTCTTCGAGCCCAAACACTAAACGCCCCAACCAGCCACAGGAATCCAGACACGCACACCATCACCCAAAAAGCCGGGAGCTTGGAAGCAAGCGCAGTAGACAACAACGGACCAAATGCATACCCCAGCACACCCGCACCGTTGTACAGCGCAACCAACACCGCCACATCGATATGCTTTTCTCCTCCACTCCGTTCCCCATATGAGCTGCTCCGCGCATACCCGCTATCGAGCAAATTCACCTCCTCGTCTTCCTCACTCTCCAATGCAGATACCAACGAGGCAAAGCTCGGAAGCTCCGTAAGAGCGTACCCGACACCATTGGCCGCCATCAATAAATACAGTGGAATGCGGGCCGCGCTACACGATAACTCTTGAATCATAAGCAAAGGAAGTGTCCACGCGAGAATAGTCATCCCGACCGAATTCGTCGCTCCCGGAGACCAACTCCTCACATAGAGCAGCACGGACGAAGCCAGAGCGACGAGAAACGTAAAGAAGGCGGAAAACGACGAGAGCGCCGCCCGGGCGTGGGCGTGCAAGCGGGCCTGCACGTGGAGATGCGCGGTGGCATGCGCGTGCGCGGACACATAAGCCACAAACGAGTACGCCAATCCGTTGAACGCAAACGCGAGCCCGACAGAGGCCGGTCCGGCGTCGCATGTGTCCGCGAGGAAGAACGGGAGCGTGGCCTCGAGAGCTCCGAAGGAGAGTGTTTGCACGGCCGTGGTGAGGAGCACGGCGGTGGCAAGGCGGTTGCGGAGAGCAAAGAGAAGCCCTCGGATGGTCATGCTTCCCTGCCGCTGCCTCTGCTGCTGCTCCTGCTGCTGTTGCTGCTCTTGCTGCTGCTGCTCCAGTTCCTGCAGCTCCTGCTGCGGCTGTTGCTGGTGGTAATCCTGCTGCTGCTGGCCGCTACTGTAGCTGCTGTAGCTGCTGCTGACGTCACCAGCTGAGCTGGAGGCGCCAGCTGTACCTGGTGGGTAGCTGGCAGCAACAGGTGCAGATGCTGCTGTGGCAGATGATGAGGGGGCGTCAAGAGGAGGGATGGTAGGGGCACCCCGAGGGAGATTGCTTGTTGCCGTGGTGGTGCTGGTGGCAGTGCTGTTGGTGGTGGTGGTGGTGGTGGGGGTGGAAGAGGGAATGGAGGGAGCAGAAGCGGCATTGGTGATCGAGCTATTGCTGCCTCTGCCAAGATGGAAAGCCTGGTCGATCATGTCAGCTGGCTCTGCTGCTGCACCAGCTGCTGTGTCTCGCGCACCCATCCCCGCCCCTGCTGCTGCCGCTGGCGCTGCCTCAGGCGCTACCTCTCGTGCTGCCTCTGTTGCTGCATATACTCCTGCCAGTGGTGCTGCTGTCACCTGGTTGGCTCCTGCCAGCCCCCGTTCAGCGCCTCTTTCAACTGCTGTTGATGATTCATGGCTCATGGGGCGCTCATCATGTGAATGCGGCACATGGCTCATGGCATGCAGGGCATGGGAATGTAGGCCATGGCTCATGGCGTGCTCGTGCTCATCATGTGAGAGTGGGACATGGCTTATGGCAGAAGCAGCAGCGTGGGTGGAGTCTCCTGACAGAGGCACCTCGTGCCACTCCGCACCCCCTTCTGCCTCTGTGCTAGCAGCACCACCTTCGACAGAAGCGCCTGAACCCATAACAGCAGCAGCTCCCAGGCCTCCAGCACCAGAGGCAGCTGCAGGTTCAGGTTCAGAGGTAACGGCAGTGGAAGATCCGCCAGAGGCAGCGGCACGGGCAGATGGAACAAGAGCAGGGGCAACAGTGGCAGAAGCAGTCACCATCGCACTGTCAGGTGTGGGGTTGGGAGGGGGGATGAGGGGGACGGAACTAGTGGGCAGGGGCGCCTGAGGGGTAGACATGCGGGGCTGTGGAGCAGGAGAGGAGTTGACGGTTTGTGAGGAAGGAGAGGAGTGGTGTGGCTGTGCAGAAGAAGAGGAAGAGTTGACGGGTTGTAGAGTGTGTTTGGAGCCGTCAGCAGGAGCAGAGGCAGCTGCAGGAACAGCAGCAGTTGCTGGGTTCGAGGCAGAGGTCATGGGTTCGAATCTCCGTGTCAGCACAAAGTCTCCATCATTATACTCTGCCCCCCCTGAAGGGGCACCTGAAGGGTCATCCTGACGAGACGCAAACGACGAAAAGAATGAGTCGGGCAGGTCGGAAGGTTCCGGAGGCGGCTCTACCCCTAGCGCCTCGAAATTTACCATCACCTGCCCGCTGCCCGCCTGGAAACCTGGACTGACGATAGAGTCAGGGTCGGGTTCTGCAGAAGAGGCAGAAGCGAGGCCTAGTGACACAGGCCCGGGTGAAGAAGAGTGCAAGGAGTCAGCACCGGGGGGGTTAGAGGAGGTATTTGTGAGTGCGTAGGACCCCGGGTTACCCTGCTGCTGCTGCAGCTGCGGTTCCTCCTGCTCCTCCATCTCTTCCTCCTCCTGCTCCTGCTGCTGCTGCTGCTGCTGCTGCTTCTGCTGTTTTTTCTTGCGCCAGCTGAGCTGGAACTCGAGGCGGTCGAGGGAGTGTGCTTCAGGCGAGAGCAGGAAGGAGAGGAATGCGAGCGCCGCCGCTGCCACAGCCGCAACGAGATACGCGATCCAGGGAGACAGGTACTGGTAGGCAAACGAGCCAAACAGCGGCCCGATGAGCGTTCCCAGTGACGCCCAACCCAGCAACGAGCCAATCACGCCGATCAGCAGAGAGGATTCCGCAGAGGAGGCTGCGGAGGAAGCTGCGGAGGAGGCTCCGGAGGGGGTGCCGTCCATGCCGTCTGCAAAGGCGGTGGGGAAGTGGGTGCCTGTGAGGGAGTAGTCTGCTGCTGCCGATCGAAACACCTGGTCACCGCTCCGAACCACAAACAGACCTTCGGATGCCGAACCTCCTCCTGCTCCTGCTCCGGCCGAGCCTGGAGCACCAACGCCCCCGACTCGTGCCCTTCGCTCCCCTCTCCCTCCTCTTCCTCCACGTCTCCCTCCTCCTCTACCTCTCCCTCTCCCTCTCCCTCTAACCTGTGTCTCTCTTTCGCTCCATGCAGCTTCTCTCCCTCCTGAAAACTCCCTCCATCCCTGCCCCTCTATTTCCTGCTGCTGCTGCTCTTCCTCCTCCTCCTCCTCCTCCTGCTCCTGCTGCTCCTGCTGCTGCTGCTGCTGGGAAGGGGTAAGCCTTTCGTAAGGAGTGTTGCTGATACCGCTAAGGCTACTTGTCCCTCTCCTCCCATCCCCTACCAAACCATAACTTAACGACGTTCTGCCCCGGGCAGTCCACAGCCTGCCCGAGCCCAGAAGTTTGTGCAGCCCCTCGCTGCCCTTCTGCGCGAGCTGATCCACCACCTCGTCCAATGACGCGCCTGACCCGCAAACCCGGGCAGCGAAAAAAAGCCCGACGCTGCGCACGGATTGGGTGGCGACGCCTTGGAGAACCAGGGCAGCAGCAAGCGAGCCTGCCCCGGCGAGGGGAAACGCGAGGGAGAGAGAGGCTAGGGTGGAGAGGGAGAAGGTCGCGGCGAAGATGGTGGGGACGGAGATTAAGAGGAGGAGCACGCCTATGGGAAGCGACGCGAGCACGGACGTGACGTTGCGCGCCGCGAGGAGCAGCGTGACGGCGTGCTGCGTCAGGCCGAAGCGGCGCGCGTAGCCCGGGAGGATGGGCGCGACGGAGCTCAGGGTGGCAGAATCCAGGAAGGTTCCGGCTGGCGTCCAGATGGGGTAAAGAAAAGGGAAAGGAGGGGAGTTGAGGAGGAGAACGGGGGAGGGGGGAGAGGGGGAGGGGGGGGAGTGGGGTAAGGGGGGTTGGGTTTCGTTGAGAATTCTGACAAGTGCTGCTAGAGGTGGGGTGAGTCAAAAGACTGGGATTAGATGCAGGGAAGCCTGTATGGCAGAAGTAACGTGCGGGGAATATGGCGTGCAGGGATGTCTGGTACTCGATTTAATCTAGGGATGTTAAATGCAGGGAATGCGGGGATGCCAAGTACCCGATATAAAGCGCAGGAATCGCTTCTCCATGGAGTTGGGCCCGCCGCGCGCTTGCAACAGCGCGGCACGTTGGAGCCGACGCGCCTCGGCGGCGTCTGCGTCGAGCGGCGACGTGAAGCCCATCCCGGCTGCTCCCGCATTCGTGCGGCCCGACGACGACCTCATTGCGTGAATTCCTGAATGGGTGGTCGATTAATGAATGTGTGGTCGCGGATGGTCCTGACGTCAGCCTAGCGTATAGCGCGATGGCTCGTGTATGGTGCTTGTTTTCATACCATGCCAATGTTTGCCGTCCAAAGGAAGAAAATGTCGCGGATTCTGTACTTCAGGAGGAGACAAATACTGTGTCCCGCAGCACAGTGCACACGAATGCCATCTCGGCTGCCTCAGAATGAAATGCAGCAGCCTGCCCGTTAAGTTAATGCTAGAATACGCCCAGGTTCTAGTCTAGTCCATGACCTAGACCAATCGCGTGCACACTACGGCACTGCAAAAGCCGACTAGTATTCGGTAGGTGGTTGGTGCCCAATGCCCATCACATCACAACACCAACACACATATCCATCAATCCACACGCGATTTAGTCAACCGCGTTACCACATATACGTTCGCGCGAGGACAACTTCTGTGCTGTATCGGTTCATGTATGCTTTACTCAACAGATCGCTTTATCGCAATTCAAATTTTTCATCCCTCCCATATTTTGAATATTCAAAATTCAAGAGCCCAGGGTTTCTGAAGGATGCCCCGCGGGTTGCCCAAGCCTCAAACAGACCAGTCCGTGCCAGAATAATTATTTTCTCAAAAGCTTCCATCTGCCCGACACAGCCTTTCAACCAGTCATCCATTCGCTTCGCTTGAACCAGCCTTGAGAGTTCCGCACAATTCTTCTCGCAGCTGAAACTTTCGACAACCATCGTTTCCTTTTGCCTTGATAGCCGTTTGCGCAGACAACCCAAGCCAGTTTATTCACTCGGGGGAAGCGTAGTTCTTTTGAACTCTCACGCTGTCACCTTTTCTTCCCTACGATTCCAGCCCTTCTAGTGTCGTCCTCATGACGCCTCGCTTTGAACTTTAGCCTCCCCTTCACCTGCTCAACTGAGCGGGTTCAACAGCGTCGTGCTAAACGTGGGAGCTTAGCTTACAAGTGGACCAACTCTGAATGGTTAGTTTTATGTATTTGTACGTTTCGCGGGGAGAAAAATAGGTACTGAGAGCTGGTAGTCTTGCTTGTTTTGTAGTACGGAGTCCAGGATCGCCGTTTACTCGCCGGTACCATGGCTCAGCGCTCCCTGTGGAGATTCTACTCCAAGAAAGAAAACGCGTCTAACACTCTGTCATCACAGCCGCTCGTTGCAACTCAAAACTCTCCAGCGAGCAGCCAAGGTCCTTGGGGGTCGACTAATGTTCCCGCTAAATCGGTGTCCGAATACAGTCCGTTCAAGGCTCCACGCAACCCGTACGCATTCAGCGGCGCGAACGAGGGGACGGAGCCGAAATGGCGAGTGACGGCTGATCAACCGTCCCTAAATAAGCCTCCCCAGAGTCAGCGCATAACGGGATATGCTTCTGATCCGCGCAGGAAGGAGCTTGGCATACCTGGTACAGCGATTGGTAACATCTGTAACACCGGTAATAGCGGTGATATTTGTAACGACGGTATCACCGGTAACGGAACAAACACTTTCGGAACTCCCTCAGCAGCGGCGAGAGCTGGAAATGGTCGAGGTAATTTTAGTCCACGACCTCATTTCACTCCCGTGACTCCTGGGATCAAGCCATGCGTCCCGAGAGGCAAGAGAACGAGGGACGACGCAGATGTTGACGACAATGAGGGTGACTACAGCGAGGGGATTAACTCGTTTCAGGGTAAAAGGTTCGCCTCCGCGAGTCAGCCTGAGCGACCTGCCAACGGAGCATCTCAGCGGGTTGCGAAACCTTCGTTTTTGTCACAATCTGGTGTGTCACAACCTGATAACTCCAGGCGCGCGGAGTTTCTTCGGGCGTTGGGAGCAGACGATCTGGACGGCGGGCAGGATAAAAATGCTAGCATGTGGGCCGAGGCCCGGTCAAAATTTGAGTGGCTTCTGCCCGAAAATATTCGGGACGGGAAGGGGAGGAGGCCTGGCGAGCCAGGGTACGATTCGCGAAGTGTAACCGTCCCGCGTGCGATCTTCGACAAGCTGTCAGCGTCGCAGAAGCAGTACTGGGGCACAAAAAGTCGCTACATGGACACGATTCTCTTCTTCAAAGTGGTACGTTGTTCCTCCTTACCATTTGCGGGTTGTGAGGTCTGAAAGTTTTTTTCTCTTTTCTATTCAAGAGGTCCGTTCCACTCACGTTCCTCGGTGTCACCGTCAGTGTATTGTTGTTGTTCTCTGTTTTAGCAGTTTTGGTCTTGATGTGGATAGTTCTGAAAATCATATGTTCCCTTGCCACGTGTCATGATCTCACAGGGCAAGTTCTACGAGCTGTACGAGGTGGACGCTGAGGTGGGCCACAAGGAGCTCGACTGGAAGCTCACTGTCAGCGGCGTCGGCAAGTGCCGCCAGGTGAGGGTTCTTCAGCTTCAGGTGATCGTTCAGATGGCTATTACGTGCTTCCTGCCGCTCATCTCACCACACCTCATTTTCTTTTTCCGCCTCGTGTTTGCACATGGCTTGTGGATTGTAGAGGCAGGTCGTTGCCACATTCTGAGAAGCTTCCTTTCACCTCTCATCTCTCTCTCTCCCCTTTCCTCTCTCTCGTACGTTCCTCTCCCCCTGTCTGCACTCTACCCACCCCCCTTTTCCCCCCCGTGCAGGTGGGAGTGCCTGAGAGTGGCATAGAGGACGCAGTTCAGAAGCTAGTAGCCAGAGGGTGAGTCTCCCTTCTTCCTCTCTCCCCTCCCCTAGTGTGTAAGCCCCCCTTTCCCCCACTCTTACTCACATGCACTCATCCATACATACGCCATTGCGCTGGGTGCCAAGTGCAACGCACAGCAGCAAGCAAGAATGCCAGTCTTGCAAACGCCAATCCCGCGGCCACTTTTGAGAGGCGCCTCAATATTGAGAGCGAGTTTTGAGGCGCCACTCAACAGCAGCAAGCAAGAATGTCATTCGTCCAGGTGGCCATTCCTCGGCCACCTGGACTCACATTCACCTCCCATTCCATGTCTACTCACTCCCTTCCCGTTATCCACTCATAACTCTGCTCCGCCCATCTCTGCTCCGCCCATCTCTGCTCCGCCCATCTCTGCTCCGCCCATCTCTGCTCCGCCCATCTCTGCTCCGCCCGTCTCTGCTCCGCCCGTCTCTGCTCCGCCCGTCTCTGCTCCGCCCATCTCTGCTCCGCCCGTCTCTGCTCCGCCCGTCTCTGCTCCGCCCATCTCTGCTCCGCCCATCTCTGCTCCGCCCATCTCTGCTCCGCCCGTCTCTGCTCCACCCGTCTCTGCTCCGCCCATCTCTCTTCCCTCTCGCCCGCAGCTACAAGGTGGGGCGCATGGAGCAGCTGGAGAGCAGCGAGGAGGCCAAGGCAAAGAGAGGGCCAGGGGCGGTATGTGACTGTGTGCATTCGCGGATGTGAAAGTACTTGGTTATGGATGTGACTGTATGCATTCGCGGATGTGAAAGTACTTGGTTATGGATGTGACTGTGTTCATTCGCGGATGTGAAAGTACTTGGTTATGGATGTGACTGTATGCATTCGCGGGTGTGAAAGTACTTGGTTATGGATGTGACTGTATGCATTCGCGGATGTGAAAGTACTTGGTTATGGATGTGACTGTATGCATTCGCGGATGTGAAAGTACTTGGTTATGGATGTGACTGTATGCATTCGCGGATGTGAAAGTACTTGGTTATGGATGTGACTGTATGCATTGACTGACAGACGTGCCTGCATCCATTTTCTGATGTGGCTGTATTAGTACAAGCGTGTGGCTCATCTGGCAAGATAGGTTACATATGCCCGCACCAGATCTCTTCCCACTGCCACGGCATGCATTGACACTGCATGCGATGGGAAGGGTGAGGCTGGCAACATGTGCTTTGTTGTCACGATGTAACAGCCACTTTTGACAAATCTAACAGAGGTTTGTTTGTTATTCATTGTTTCGTGTTAACAGCCTCGTGTCTATCTCGTTTTAACAGCCTCATGTCTATCTCTTTCACCATCACATACCCGTGCATTGCAGATGGTGCAGCGGCAACTTATGCAAATTCTCTCCCCAGCCACCCTCACAGAGGGGTCACTCAGACCAGAGGCCGTGCACCTCCTGGCAATTAAAGAGGTGAGCCGCTCTGCGCCCTGTGTGCATTTCAAGTTAAAAGCATTCTGCCAATCCACCCTCACAGAGGGGTCGCTCAGACCAGAGGCCGTGCACCTCCTGGCAACTAAGGAGGTGAGCCGCTGTGTTTCCTGGCAACAACAAGAGGTCACGCAATGGATTTCTGTGGTCCATTACTGTCCATTGCTGTACCATTTGAAAGTAGGTGAGCACTTGTCTGCGTGTGTTTTTTTCACAGGTCTTTGCGATGGCCAAAGATTTTGTCAGCCTAATCCATCCACCAACGATGATGCACCTTTGCAGCCCTTGTGAATGCATTTCAAGCACTTTTAGGCGTGTCAACTTTCGAGATGATTTTCTTTTGTCGTGAGTCGTGACCAATAGCAGAGAGCACCCCGAACCATCCATCAGGGAGGAACTTTGAGTTGCCTGAACCCCCCCCCACCCCTCCCCCCCCCCTCTCTTTGCGTGTCGTCGTCTCTTTTCAGGTCACCACAGAACCTGCGTCCAGCAACAGCGCCGCCAGCATTGACAACATCATCATCAGCAGCAGCAGCCCTAACGGGACGCCTAACGGCACCCCGACCAGTGTTGCTTCTGGGTCTATCCTCGTTGGCTTTGCGTTTGCTGACGTGGCAGGCGGGAATGTCTACGTGGGTGCCATGCGGGATGACTCCTCCCGCTCCGCCCTCTCAGCGCTCCTCGTCCAGGTGCAGTGCATGTGATGGGACAATCATGTATGTGTCCAGGTGCAGTGCATGTGATAAGCCTCCCCACTTGCTGTGTGTGTGACTAGCCGTCTGTGTCCAGGTGCTGTGGATGTGATGGGCCCACGAACCTTTCAATAGGACACTTGGTTTTCTTTCTCTTCTTTTCCTGCCCGGCTCCCCTTTGCCTGACATCAGGTGGCCCCTCAAGAGCTGTTGTTTGAACTGGACGGTATGTGTGCTTGGACTTTGTTTAGTGCTTGGTTTAACCTTCATGTTAATTGCTTTTCTGTAATCATATCAGGGCCCTTTCATTACTTCATAAGCTACCTTTCTTGTTCAACTCTAATGTCTTGAGATTCTAGGTGAGTTTTCCTCTGAAGGTTTTAAAGAAATATACTTCTCGTGTAAAATCCTCTGATCCAGGTCTCTCCACCGACACGAGGAAGCTTTTGCGAAGGAGCTCAGGCCCAGGAATCCTCCCGATGCAGCTGACAGCCCTGGCGCCAGGTTCGGAGTTTCCCGAGCCTAAAGCAGCGGTGGCTCGGCTAAAATCATCTGGTTTCGGAACTGTGCAAGAGTCCCCACAGAGAGAGCCATGCCATGGGAGGGGGGCGGATTCTCTAGTGCGGTTGCTGGTGGGAGGGGGAGAGGAGGAGGCGGAGGTAGCAGCAGCAGCGCTTGTGGCGCTAGGCAGCCATCTGGAGCGATTGAAGGTGGGAAATCCTCGCCTTTCTCTCCTTTTCTCTCCAAGTTTCCTCCTTTTCTCCCGTCCCCCCCTTCTCCTCCCTTCCTCTCCAACTCCCCCTCGTTCCCCGCTTTCCGACTCAAAACCCGCCCGCTCCCCCGACTCCCTCCATTTCCCCCTCCCCCTCCGCCCCTCGACCACCAACCAACGTGTGCATGTGTCAGTGGATCCCTGCAGCGCCCCCCTCTCCCCCCCTGCGCAACTGCAGCGCCCCCTCTCTCCCGCTGCAGCGCCTCCCTCTCTCTCCCGCTGCAGCGCCCCCCTCTCTCTCCCGCTGCAGCGCCCCTCTCTCCCGCTGCAGCGCCCCCCCCCCCTCTCCCGCTGCAGCGCCCCTCTCTCTCCCGCTGCAGCGCCCCTCTCTCTCCCGCTGCAGCGCCCCTCTCTCTCCCGCTGCAGCGCCCCTCTCTCTCCCGCTGCAGCGCCCCCCTCTCTCTCCCGCTGCAGCGCCCCTCTCTCTCCCGCTGCAGCGCCCCCCTCTCTCCCGCTGCAGCGCCCCCCTCTCTCCCGCTGCAGCGCCCCCCTCTCTCCCGCTGCAGCGCCCCCCTCTCCCCCTGCGCAACTTACCCCTTCGCTCTTCCTTTTCATCCTGCAAACACCCCTTCGCCACTTCTCCCCACCGGTTCCCCTCCTCCCCCTTCCCGTCTCCCCAATCCATCTCTGTGTGCAACACCATTGGAGTCCTACAGTGTCCCCCTCGCTTTTTGAGGCGCCTAAAAAACCAATCATTGAGGAGGCGCCTCAAAAACCAATCTTTGAGGAGGCGCCTCAAAAACCAATCGATCTCTGTGTGCAACACCATTGGAGTCCTACAGCGTCCCCCTCGCTCGCTGTGTGACCCTTACCCTCTTTGCTCTCCCTTCCCCCCCCGCACCCCCCTCCAACCCCCTACTCCCCCACCAGTGGAGCCCGTCAGTGCTCGCCTCGCTCGCCCTGCACCCCTTACCCTCCTTCCCCTGTTTTCCCTCCTGCTACCCTCACCTCCCCCACCCAACCCGGCCCCACCAGTGGAGCCCGTCAGTGCTCGCCTCGCTCGCCCTGCGCCCCTACTCCGTCTTCTCGGGTTCGCTGCGTCTGGACGGCCAGACGCTCAGCAACCTGGAGCTGCTCAGCAACACGCACAACGGCAGCACACAGGGTGAGCACTTAAGAATCTTGTCCTTCTGCTTCGCTTCCTGCTGCTTGGGCGGACGGCCAGACTCTCAGCAACTGCTCAGCAACACACACAACGGCAGCACGCAGTGTGAGCTAATCCACGTTCAAGGCATCAAAGGGACTTCTGAACGGCAGCACGCAGGGTGAGCTAATCCACGTTCAAGGCATCAAAGGGACTTCTGAACGGCAGCACGCAGGGTGAGCTAATCCACGTTCAAGGCATCAAAGGGACTTCTGAACGGCAGCACGCAGGGTGAGCTAATCCACGTTCAAGGCATCAAAGGGACTTCTGAACGGCAGCACGCAGGGTGAGCTAATCCACGTTCAAGGCATCAAAGGGACTTCTGAACGGCAGCACGCAGGGTGAGCTAATCCACGTTCAAGGCATCAAAGGGACTTCTGAACGGCAGCACGCAGTGTGAGGTCTGATATTGCTTCACAAGGCTGCTTCTCCTCTGGACGGCCAGACTCTCAGCAACCTGGAGCTGCTTGGGAACACGCACAACGGCAGCACTCAGGGTGAGCATATATGAACCTTCGTCGTTCTGTTTCGCTCTCTGTTGCTTTGACGGGCGGCCAGACTCTCAGCAACCTGGAGCTGCTCGGCAACACACACAGCGGCAGCACACAGGGTGGGTTCAACACCCTTTCAACCTTTGAATCGTCTCCGAGCAACCACTTTGCGTCTCCTCTTGATACCTTTGACAATTTAGTCTTCTCACTCACCCTCCTCTACCCCCCCTCCTCCCCTCCTCCCCTCCTCCCTTCCTCCCCCCCCCCTCCTCCTCCCTTCCTCCCCTCCTCTCCTGCTCTCCTCCCCTCCTGCCCGCCTGCCCTCCTTCACTCGCCCTCTTCACCATTTCCGAACGCACAGGCACTCTTCTGGGCTTTCTGGATACGTGCGCCACGTCAGCAGGCAAGCGCCTTCTCCGCCGTTGGATCTGCCACCCGCTGCGCTCCATCCGCGAGATCGAGCGCCGGCTGGACGCCGTCGATGAGCTGGCGGGCTCGTCGCTCGCCACGTCAGCGCTCTCATCCACCACGTCAGCAGCACATGCGCGGGGAGAAATCCGGGCAGCGATGAGGCGGCTGCCGGATCTGGAGCGCCTGATTGGTCGAATGAGAGCGATGGGGGCGCCGGGAGGGGGAGGAGCAGGGGGTGTGGGAGAAGTTGGAGGTAGGGGAGAGGAAGGGAATTGGGGAAGGGCCAGTGGAGGCCGAGAAGGCAGAGGCGGGGAGGATGGGAGAGGAGGGGTGGGAGGAGGGGAGGTGGAGTGGGGGGGGTTAAGGTCTGCTTTAGAGGCGCTACCTGGACCAATGGCAGAGCAGCTACTGAGGAAGCAGGTGAGGAGGCACACTCATGCGAATGTTGGCATGAGCAAGATCCACCCTGCCCTTGACTTTTGAGTCAACTCAAAAGTCACCTCAGAGCTGCTGCTGAGGAAGCAGGTGAGGAGGCACACTCATGCGAATGTTGGCATGAGCAAAATCCACCCTGCCCTTTCTGGGGTGGGGTTTGGGAAGGTGGAGTACGGGGATTAAGGTCTGCTCTAGAGGCGCTGCCTGGACCAATGGCAGAGCAGCTTCTGAGGAAGCGGTGAAAGCACTCACTATCACACCCACCCAGCTTTGCTCGTCCATCGACTTGTGACGGTTCGAGTTTCATCCCCTCCCAACGTTTTCTCCTCCTCTCCCAGGTCACCCAATTCTGCACTGCAGTGCAAGGGGTGCATGCAGCTCTGCTCTTCCTCGATTCCCTCCGCAACGGATCTCAAAAGCGTCTCAACATATAACATCTCGCAACCGTCTCTTATGTATCCCTTCCTCTCGCAGGTCGCCCTATTCTGCTCTGCAGTGCGAGGGGTGCGTGCAGCCCTGCTCTTCCTCGATTCCCTCCGCAACGGATCTCTCACAGGGGAGCCTGTCACCTTCCGTTCTGCCATCCTACGTGGCATCATGCGATTGGCTCCTGCTGCCGCCTCTGCTGGCGGCGGAGAGGGTGGTTGGGAAGAGGAAGACGAGGCGGAGGAGGAGGAGGAGGAGGAGGATGAGGGAGAAGGAGGAGGAGAAGGGGCAGGGGTGAGGAACCGCCATGTGAGTAACGGTTACAACAAACATGGTTGGGGAGACGAGAGGGGCCGGTCTAACACGGTGCATCCCTCTCATGCGACGGCAAGGACGAACGTTACGGAGGAGATGAGCGGGCGGCGTGCGTTGGCAGTATTGGATGAGATAGAGCAGTTCATCGTGTGGCCGACTGCCACCCAGGGGAAGGTCGGTGCAGCCGGGAAGGGCAGAGGCAGCGGCGGGTCGAGAGGCGGCGGCGGTGGTGGCAGCAGCAACAACAGCAACAGCAGCAGCAGCTCTCCCCGTTTGGTCTCCCCTGATGACAGTGTGGTGAATCTGGTGACCAATGTAAAGAGGGCTGGGACTGGGAACAGCAGGAACCAGAGCAAAAACAGCAGTAGCGGCACCGGTAGCAGCCATCTGAGTGAGGCAGTGGCAGCAGAGGCGCGCCTGCTTTCTGCTCTTGTGGCGCGGCTCTCCTCGCTCCTCCCCTTCTGCTCGCTCCTCTCCGACTCCCTCGCCCGCTTTGACGTCCTCCTCGCCTTTGCTGATGCCGCACAGACCGCCGCTGCTGCTGGTGGCGGTGCTGGTGGTGGTAGTGCAGGGCCCATGTGTCGCCCCACATTTGTGGCTGGAGGGGGAGGAGCGGAATGCGTGGGAGGAGTGGGAGGAGTGGGAGGAGTGGGAGGAGTGGGAGGAGGGGGAAGGGGAGGGAAGGGAAGCGGGTCAGGGGGAGGCAGCACGTTTCATGCGAGGGGGTTGTGGCACCCGTTTGCTGTGGGCGCCGGTGGTGGTGTGGTGGTTCCCAACGACGTGCTTCTAGGGGGCGTGCCAGGCAGCTCCGTATCAGGAATAACAGCAGCAGCAGCAGAAGGGGTGCATGCGCGCACGATGCTGCTGACAGGGCCCAACATGGGCGGCAAGTCCACTCTGCTACGCGCTACCTGTGTCGCTGTCATCATGGCTCAGGTGCTCTGCTCTCAACTCTTACCCTAGTCTCATGCCTTATCAGTCCATTGCTGCATGAGCCCACGCTGCACCGCGCTCCAGTCCCAGTTCCACCTTCCTTCTACCAGTTCAAAACCGTTCTGAAAACGCAGCGTGAGCAAGGTGGGTGCATTGTTCTTCATAAGAATCCTTTTTTCATCCGGCTCATCAGTTTTTGACTGTCGAGTCGAGTCGTCTCGTCTCAAAAGCCACCTTCCCCCGGTTTCATCTGATCTCAATCCCAACCTTTTGAGACGTCTCAAAAGTCGTCTACTTACACTCTGATCTCAATCCCAACCTTTTGAGACGTCTCAAAAGTCGTCTACTTACACTCTGATCTCAATCCCAACCTCTACTTACACTCTGATCTCAATCCCAACCTTTTGAGACGTCTCAAAAGTCGTCTACTTACACTCTGATCTCAATCCCAACCGCGATCCCCTGCTCCCTCCCTTTCACCAGATGGGATGCTATGCGCCTAGGTGACTTTTGAGTCGACTCAAAGGCCAACCGCGATCCCCTGCTCCCTCCCTTTCACCAGATGGGATGCTATGCGCCTAGGTGACTTTTGAGTCGACTCAAAGGCCAACCGCGATCCCCTCCTCCCTCCCTTTCACCAGATGGGATGCTATGCGCCTAGGTGACTTTTGAGTCGACTCAAAGGCCAACCGCGATCCCCTGCTCCCTCCCTTTCACCAGATGGGATGCTATGCGCCCTGCTCCTCCCTCGTGCTCTCTCCTGCTGATGTCATCTTCACAAGGCTCGGGGCTTCCGACCGAATCATCTCTGGGGAGAGTGAGTGCTGCTTCCTTTTGGGAGGAAGAGGGGGGTTGGGGGGGTGGGGGGGTGTTAGGGGGGTGGGGAGTGGAGAGCAGAGGGGCCAACGAGGAAAAGGCCAGGCATTGAACTGAATGATTTCTGGAGGGAGCAATTCTGCTTTCTCTTCGGGGAATGGAGGCAGGGTTCGAAGGTGGGGAAGGGGGATGTGAAAAAATAAATTCCGGAAATCTCTAAGCAATGGACATCTGTGCCCGCATTGGAGCCCGTGATCTTGGAGAAATCACTTGTTTTTCCGCCATCCTTCTCTCTCATCCACCCCCCCGCTTCTCCCCTGCCCCTTTCCTTCCCCCACCAGGCACGTTCATGGTGGAGTGCAGGGAGGCAGCAGCAGTGCTGCCTGTTGGGTTGACTGGAAGTAACTTTGCTCCCTGCGATTTCCACCCGCCTTCCCCTCCCCTACCGCTCCCTTCCCCTCCCCTTCCAATCCCCTTCCCCTCCCCTTCCCCTCCCTTCCTGCATCAGGCACGTTCATGGTGGAGTGCAGGGAGGCAGCAGCAGTGCTGCGGTGTGCCACAAGGGACTCGCTTGTCATTCTGGACGAGCTGGGCAGGGGAACGTCCACCTTCGATGGATACGCCATTGCACATGCGGTACGTGATGTGGGCGTTTGGGATTCTCCTTTGATGCGCCTCACAAGCTACTCCCTGGTCATTTGGGACGAGCTGGGCAGGGATACACCTACACGTTCGATGGAGACGCCATTGCGCATGCGGTACGTGGTTGTGGTCTGTCGAGAGTTGACTGCTCAATGCGTACTACAGTGTATCCGCCATGATCATTGGCCCAAGCATCGTGTTCGAATGTATAGTTCTATGATAACAGCAGTGCTGGCCGCTGAACCAAGATGAAAGTACAGCTGCCATCTGTTGTGCTGTCATTGCTCCTTGTCTCTTTCTTTTGCTGTTTTCTCCACCGAATTTTGTACTTCTTAATCTTGTGCCTTCATTTCCTTTTGAGACACCTGAAATATACCGTTGTCAACCCTGCTTTCCAATCCTCTCTTGTTTCTTCTGCTGTTCCCCCACAGGTATTGAACTATCTCACCTCGCGCCTTGACTGTCGGCTCCTATTCGCCACGCACTACCATCCCCTCACCTCCGAGTTTGCGGGCCATCCGCAAATCGCATTGCGACACATGGCGTGCCAAGTACAGGCAAGCAAGGGCGGCGACGGGGAAGAGGACGAAGAGCTTGTCTTTTTGTACAAGTTGCAATCCGGTGCCTGTCCGAAGAGCTACGGGTTGAAAGTAGCGTCCATGGCCGGAATTCCGTCTCGTGTGGTGGCGAATGCGGCACAAGCAGCTTCGGCTCTTGAGCATGAGCTAAGCGATAAGTTTGACAACCCTGAGCCGCTTGCAGCTAGCACATTGCTTGATCTTGAGAGGTCATGGGTGCAAACGCTGCAAGGGGTTGCGCCATTTGGTGCTTCTGGTGGCAAAATGCCTGATGAGGATGTAGAGGATATGTTTGAGACTCTGTATTGCATCTGGCACGAGGTTCGTCGTAGTCGCAATTCGTGAATACATGAAGCCATTTAATGTTGAAGCGTTCTATTCTGCTGTTTATAGCAAGACCATGTTCTAAAGATGAGCTGCGCTAGTGTTTTGGCGGAGGCCCACAGCGCGTTTTTTGCGCTGAACATGTTGCCTCTTGCTATCTTTTCAAGTCACAGCAGACTACATTTTCAAGCTCCTCTCTCTGACGTGTCTGTGTGCATGCTACCTTGCTATGCCATAGACACGGTTTGGGGAAGCAGTGCGCTCTCATTTCCTGCTTTATCCTGCCTCCCCTTGCTGCAAGTTCATACCCTGCTAATTCCGTCTGGGTGCTCGAACATGGAGTGTTGTCACGCCAAGAGCACGATGGTAGTGACCTCAGCAAGATCAGGTGTAGAAATGACTTCTGAGTCCTCTGCAGGGCCCTTGAGCGTTTGTGAAGCAGCTCATTTTCCAGAAGTTTTGCTGGAGTAACGTAAACCCCGAAGGACATGGATTTCTTAGGGATCGTCCACCACAACTACCGACTTCTCGTCGGTTATTCCGAACCTGAGCAGTTCGAGTGGAATTTCCGGACCTACGCGTCCGTAATCCTGGTAGCTTTGGTGAGTAAACAACGTCCTGTCGCGGCAGAACGCTAGTTTGTTCCGCCATGGTTCAGTTCACATCAAAATGTCTCGCCATGTCTGACATTCCGACGATCACCGGCGTTGTGGGATTGCGCAGTGCGCATCGCTTGCTAATTCGGCTGGCGTGGGAGGAGGGCCTTTCTACATGCCGCTGTTCCACTCTGTTCTCAAATTCAATCTTGTCAAATCCACCGCCCTTTCCCATACCGTCGTGACATCAAGGTCAGGATTCATTACCTGTTTTCTTTTCCAAGCTCGTTCTTTTCCATTGATAGCTATTCTGAACCCTTTTCTCTTTTGCGTTCAGTGCAATTGCTAGCACTCTCTATGGACTATGGGAGTCGAGTCCTGAAGTTCCGTCCATGCCACTGGTTGACTTGAGACTTGCACTGGCATTGCTCCCGTCTCTCCTATTTGGAGTTGGAATTGGAGTTCTAATCAGCCCGACTCTTCCTCACTGGATTCAGCTACTCGGGTTACTGATTTTGCTCATTTTCGTTGTACATAAGACGTATGCACGAGCACGAAGGTCATGGAAGAAAGAGTCAGAAAGAAGGGTGGGTATCTGTAGTACGTTGAGCTATCATGCTTGCTCTGAACTATTCGTACCTTGAAGAGCATCTGATCATTGCACTTGCAGAGGGTTGCACATACTGCTGCTGCCGAAGGACTCCTGCCTGTCTCATTCGTCAACCCAGATGAATCGGGCCAGCATCAAGTTACGTTTGACGTTCCCGAAACATGTGAGGGAGTGGATTTCCTGTCAGTGGCTGGATGTGAGATTTCGCAGTTCTTCAACCGCCACTGGAAGTGGATGCAGCATTATCTGAATGAATCAGGAAATCAGCTTCTCTCGCACATCCACCACGTGGCAATGCCATTTCTCTACACCCTCGGTATGTTCCACTGGTTTTTTCGGCTTCTTTTGAGATTTGTGAGAACCTCTATGTCATATCTATTTCCTGTTCTTTTCCTGCAGTTCTTTGGTCTCTTTTCATGGCTCTTCAGTGGGGTCTTAGTCAAGCTAGCCGCTGTTCCTCGTCCTTTTTCCAGCTGTGGGGGTTGCAGCTGTTTGTCTGCATCGCTGCTGCAGTTAGCACCATTCAAGGACAGGTAGAGCAATGCAGGACCTTTTGGCATAGAGTGCTGTTATTCTCTTCACATCTCCACTTTGTGACTTCTGGCCATTCCCTTGTGCCATGGTTGCTATATTTCATGCAGCTGCGCATGCACCCTGCAACATGCAGGCCTACGTCTCTGAGCCCAAACCTTGCTCGGCTTTTCTCATCAGGCTCTAGCATTTCCCGCTTTTTGAAGGTACGCAAACTTCTTGCTTAGGTGTGCATATGTTTCCAGCTTGTGCGTCCCTGACTCTCCTTGGAACTATCTTTCCAGATCTCTGTGATCATTGCATGTGCTGGAGCTATGGCTGGGATGGTGGGCATCGGAGGAGCACTTATTTTCAACCGCATATCTCCTTAGTCTCGGCCTTCACCCACAGGTGTTGACAATGTTAGGGATCATCAATTTGATTTACATGGGTAAGAAGCTGAATGAAATTCTCTTTGTTGGCATCGCAGATCTTGGCCTCGACAAGTGTTTTCATGATCCTTTTCAGCAGCAGTGCCATCAGCATCTCGTTCTTCTTCCATGGTTTTCTGAACACTAGCTATGCAGCTGTGTTTGCTCCTGTGGCATTCCTTGGGTCGCTGGTTGGAGTCTTCGTTGTTGGGAGAATCGTGAGAAACACAGGTATGTGTTTTGGTTGCACGTGTAACCTTGTATCTGCAACTAGCAATGTAGCTTAACTTGGTTACTGCCACTTTTTACCGTATGTGCAGGTCGTTCATCCATTGTTATCTTCATTCTGGCCATCTTGATTGGTCTAGGAGGAGTTTTGGTAGCCATCATTGAAGGTCCAACAGCATTTGTCAATTTAATTCATGGCCAAGACATGAAAATACGTCCCTTCTGCCCAGCATGATGCTACAGAACAGGATCGACAGCATGACTGCTGCTTTTTGTAGTTGTGGGTCTATTTTGTGCATCCAATTGCTAGTTGGAGACATTGAAACAGTGTATGCAGTGCAGCTGAGACTTATGAGAGCCTTGCTCCTAGTGAAGGGTGACTGTGCATGTACTCGTACAGTAGTTGCCTGGTCTGGTCAGGTTGGGCTCTGGTCCTGCCACCTGATTTTTCGAGAACTGCGGCTCAAACCAAGCCAACAACACTGGTACGATGTGCCGAACTTCCCCCAAGCAAATCGCCCGCCATCCGCCGTGCACCAGCCAAAAGGGGCTCCTTTGCCCCAAGGCTGGGCAACGTGAGGCTCGGCAAAAAGCTGCACGAGTCGCCCTTGAAAAATATTAGGAGACCACCTCCTCACAAGGGTTTTTGCGAAATAGTGAGTCACTTTCTAGTTATTTCGTAGCCTGTTGAATCCGCTTATTGGCCTCATGCCAGTGCGTTGCGATGTCTCTGGATTCAAATGCAGCGCACGACCTTGACCTAAAACGCAAATTCGCGGAAATCCCGAGCCGCTATGACTTGGACTCTCCAACGACCAAGCGCCTTCGCGGCGTGCGTCAGCGGTCGTGGGGCAAGTGGGTATGCGAGATCCGCGAGCCGCGCACGCGCGCGCGCGTGTGGCTAGGATCGTACAGCACCGCGGAGGAGGCCGCGCGCGTCTACGACACCGCCGCGCTCATGCTGCACGGCGCGAGCGGCGCGGAGCGCAGACTCAACTTCCCGGACGCTCTTCAAGCGGACGGGGGGATCCGCCCCGTTATAGTGTCGCGCACTATAGCGGAAGGTCTGCTCCGCGTCGTCAATGCTCTGACTCTTTCGCAGCAGTCGCAGCAGTCGCCATCCCAACAAGAAGATTCGAGTAATCCATCTTGCGCTTGTGACATGATTGTCGATGCCTCCACCTTTGCTGCGACGGGCAGTGCCCGCCGCTCCACTGGTGCTACCGCATCTGTCCCCACGGTTCACGCTAGCCCCACCTTTACCGGCGAGTGGGTGCGCCTCGAGGTTACCGGCTCCAACGTCGTCTTCTCCGATTGCGCGAGCCCGGGTATCACCACCACCGCGATTCCCGCCGCCGGTCGCGGCGGCGTCTTTCCAGACGCGTCGTCCGTCAAATCCCCGACGGCGAACGGCCAGATCTCGCCGAAACGCGGCGTCGCCGCTCGGAATGCCGTCACCGCCGCCGATTCAAACGCCGCCGCTTGCGCGTCTGGCGTTACGTCAGCAGCCGCGTCGCAAGTTGCGCCTGAGATGGATTTCGTCAGCAGCCGCGTCGCGGCGCCAGCAGATTCCTTCTCCGCTGCCCTGTCGCTCTTCTCCGACGCGCCTCCCACCTTTTCCGCCGGTCCCCCCATAATCGTCCCCTCCCGCCGTTCCTCCGCCCTGTCTCTCCCCGGAAGCCCTATGAGCGGTATGGGGTACAGCCCCGCGCGCGTCCGCTCCCCCTCCCGCTCGCCGCTGCACTCCCCGCGGTTCCCCCCAGGCCCGTCGTTTGGCGGCTCCCGGGCGTTCCCCGCAACCACCGCCCCTTCCTCCCCACGTGCGATTAGCGCCTCAGCTTTTTCCGTAATGTCCCCGTTCGCGGATTCCGCCGCTCCCGTCGCTTCCGCCGCTTACGCCGGCGGGGCGGAGCTTTCGCGCGCGCTGCTCGCGCACCCCACCTTCGCGCACCTCTGCGCGCCTTCCGCACAGCTCACCACCGATACCCTCACTGCTGATCATATCCCAGCTTCCACTGCAGATCAAATGGCCACTGCTAATCCCGCCATAGACTTTCCTCCCCTTACTACCGCAGCTGCTCCCAACTCTGCTCCACCCGCCGCTACTCTTGCTGCTCCCCCCAGTGCTCCCAGCAGCAGTTGTGCAGTTCAAAATCTAGACAGCAATTTCACGAGCTACACCTCTTTCGCTCCGTTTCTCACTGATCTGGGACAGGAGGACAGCGATATTGTCAACAGCAGATCTAGTAACGCGGATAGCAGCAGCATGGACACGTCATCCCCTACTGCTAAAGCGGGGCCCTTACAGCAGCCCCCAAGCGTCTCCCCCCAGGCTCCCCTAAACCTGCCCAGTTTCTCCTCTCAGCCGCTCCTGAACCTGCCCAGCTTTTCCAAGACGGCACCGGACCAAACGGGTTCCTTGCCTCGACTGCCGAGCCTGCCAGGGGAGTTCCCGTCGCTGCCGAGCCTGCCGGCAGAGTTCCCATCGCTGCCGAGTTTAGACTGGAAGGAGATTGAGGAGTGCCTGGGGAATCCAGAGGGTTCAATGCTCACTAGCTGACAGCCCGTGCCTGACCGCCGTGCCTGACAGCCCGTGCCTGACAGCCCGTGCCTGACAGCCCGTGCCTGACAGCCCGTGCCTGACGACGGTCCGTCCCTGAGCCCATGCCTGACTGGCCGTGCCTCACAGCCCGTGGTCGACAGCTATGTATTGGGGGCCATGCTTGGAGGTCTTGCACGGACACTCCATGCTGGAGCTGGTTCTAAGATGACAGGGTCAGGTTAGGATGCCAATTGATATGCCTATACATGTCAATTTTTAATGTTATTCACAATTTGTGCCATTAGGCATGCTATAGGTCATGTAGATTGTGGTGTATTAATTTGATTTAGAGATAGACTAAAGTCACTACAACATTATTGTGACTGCAAGGAAGGAATCTCGTTATTGGGTGTAGAGTTCGTTTATTTAATTTCACAAGAAAATGGGAGTCACAAGTAAAGCTGATTGCTCACAAGCAGATATTTGACGAAAATAATACCTACACATTGTATTTAACAAAGTACAGCAGACGCATTTAGCGAGGTAACACCGAGGGGAGAAACAGGCAGGACTCGTGAACTCCAGGGTACTGGGCAACTCAGAAATATTTAGGAGAAGAGCAGGTTCGGGTTGAGGAATTTAGGACCTTCGACATTATCAGGAGAGAGATCTGTTGAAACAAGAGCTTGAGGACGGTCCGAGGAGAAAGGTAAGGTACCAACTCCTCTCAAGCTCGTCAGGAGGTTGGCTTTCGGGAAGAAAGACAATCATCATGAGGACCTGTAGGGCACACTTAATTAAAAACGGTGCTTAGGGCCTTCATGATGGCTGGCTTCCCCGAGGGCAGCCGATTGGAGGGTAGAGGGGGAGGCTGAGGATAGGACTGAGAAGTTTCCGAAGAGTGTAAGACGGAGGAAAAGATGAAATCGCAGGTGTAGAAGTAGAGTCCCGAAAAGGATAGGAGGGTAGGACGGTTCCGAGGAAATGGAGAGGGACTTTTAAGGTGATTGGGGGGTCGTGATGAGAAGAGTGTGAGCCGAAGGAGGGAGTGACTGACGAAAGTAGACGAAACTGGTGACCGAGTTTGGCCAGCTGTCGCGAGTCACATTCAGGATTCTACTGCTGCACCTGCGCCTGCTGCTGCTGCATCAGCCGCAGCTGATGCTCCTTCTGCAGGTGCTGCAGCACCGCCGTGATGCTCGTCAACTCGCGCACCAGCGACACCAGCACGTCCGCGCGCTGCTGCTGCTGCGCGTTCCCCGCGGAGCCCGCGGAGGCGGCGGAGGCCGTGCCGACGGAAGCGGAGCGCGACACGCTGTCGTAAGAGGAAGACGGCGACAAGGGCGCGTTGACAGGTGCAGGGAACACCAGCGGAAGCGTCGGCGGAGACGGCACGAACTGAATTCCCTCGTCCTCGACCGGGAAAAACGGAACGGGGCTCTCGAGCGGGGCGGCGGACTCGGACTCCCAGGCGAAGGCTGAGTCGCGGGAGGGGGAAGCGGAAGCGGAGGCGGAGGCGGAAGCGGAAACGGAGCCGAAAAGCTCCTCATCGGACAGATTCCAGGCGTCCTCGAAGAGTGTCGACTCGGACTTCTCGATTTCCGGCCAGTGGAGCTCTGGAAGCTCCAGAATAGAGCTGCTGTCGTTGTAACTGCTGAAGCACGCAACGTCTGCGACGTCGGCGGCACTTGTGAACGATGCGACGGGCAGGTTGTCGCAAGACGAGAGAGTGGGGACAGGAGAAGATGAGGGATTGGCAGCAGGCGCGGGGGCGGCAGCGGGGACCGACGGCGCAACGGCGGGAGCTGGAGCGATGGGGGTGAATGGGAGGAGCCCGGGCGCGGGGCACTCCGCAAAGAGGACGTTACCGCCCGCGATTTCCAACTGTACCCATTCGCTGTTGAATGACTTCGTGTCCGCTTCCGCGGCCGCAGACTCCGCGCCGGTCGCGGACGCGGCGAGGTTGCGCGCCGCGCGGAGGAGGGACTCCGCCGTTGCGCGGGAGACCACGACGGGGCGCATGCGGATTCCGCCCTCGATGGAGGTCGCCGCCGCGTGGGGGAAGTTCAGCCGGCGCTCCGCGCCGTGCGCTCCGTGCAGCATGAGTGCAGCGGTGTCGTAGACGCGCGCGGCCTCCTCCGCAGAACTGTACGATCCCAGCCACACGCGCGCGCGCGTGCGCGGCTCGCGAATCTCGCACACCCACTTGCCCCAGGAGCGCTGTCGCACGCCGCGGTAGCGCTTGGCGGAGGGCTGGTTCGGGTGCTCATTCTGAGACGAAGCGCCAGCGTCGGCGGCCACGGCGGCGGAGGAGGAAGAGAAGAAGCCGGTGAAGGAGGTCGAGTCGGAGGATAGGCAGGGAGGGAGAGCAGCAGCGTTTGAGGGGGAGATGCAAGACGTGTGGGACGTCTTGCGCTTGAGAGGGTTAGAAGAAAGAAGACCAGAAATTGTGTTGGCCATTTTTAGAGTGAGACGCCCGTGTTAGGTTAGACGTATTGCGTGCTCTCGATTTGCGAATTCTTGCGTTCGCTGCTGCTTGCTGCTCTCGATCCCTGCCGATCCTTGCTCGTAGAAACGTGACTGGTCAAGCGATGACGACGACTAAATTGCTTAACTTCGATAATTTACGAGGAAAGAGGAACGAACATATATGGGGCGGTGGAAGTTCGGTGAGGCGTGGGTTGCGATTCGGTTGAAGGCGGAGGAAGTAGAGTGGAGCGGAAGGAAGTTTGGGGGAAAGGGGGGTGTCGGGGGAGGGGGGATTCTGTGGCGGGAATGTACACGCGGTGAAGGATCTCTTTCCCCTCGACTTCGGATACGCGGAGATGGGAGATTGCCCGCAGAAAATGAGTGACAGGGAGGGAGTGAACGAACCACGTCCACATGAAGGGCAAACGCGGTTGCTCGAAACGAATTTCCAGAACCTGCGATTCGGAATCGTGCTGCCCAGGGCTTGGCTTGCTCTTGCCCTTGCTGCCTCTTTTCTTGCTGGCCAGGAAAAGCTTGGCCTGATTTTGCTGCGCACGACTAGGCTTGGCCGGGTTGGACTTGGGGCTGGTTTGGAGCGAGCGCCGCGGATGCGAGGAAGGAGTGACCGGGGCGGGTGGGCAGGCACCGACCACGCGGATGCAACAGTACACAGTACCGTGTGCACTGCTCATGCAGCGGTCTTATCTTCTGTCAAATCGACGTGAAGAACAGAAAACGCCAGATAAGAACAGTAACGTATCTGACAACCAGCGTGGAGATCTTTTTGCAGCCGTCAGGACTGCTCGTTGCGAACGTCAAGTTTGACGCCAGATGGCTGATTCCCAATTGCGAAGTGGTTACATCAGGTGCGCGAGAGATTATTCAGCAAGTTGCGACCTGAAACGTCCTTCCAGCCACAGCAAGTGCAGCGCCGACAGCCGGACAGCGAAGGAACAGATCCACCGACACTACGTGTCAACTGGTACTGTGGGAAGAAGATGACCTGTCGGACCTGCTGCCATAAGATCACTTGCCTTGCCAGCAAGGCCTGAGCAGCCAACCGCGTGACCAGGCAGTCCAGCAGGCCGGGTTACAGCGCCTGTCAAATTGAAACCGAAGGAATGCGGGCAGGGGAGTACAGTCGGTGCCCATTTCAAGAACACCAGATAGGCGGGCGGCATGTGCGTGAAAAATGTTTTAGGCATTTCGCCACGTTCGCCCTTGTCGCCACGGGCAAAAATGTGACAGTAATATGAAATTGCAACATGAATCGAGTCAAGGGTTTTAATTTTGTAGCCAGGTTAACTTCTCTGATTACGGGCAACCGTTGTTGTTTATGAGATGTAGATGTTTTTCTTCAACTTGATGACTGTACCCCGAAATCGGCACAATGGTCAATTTAGCCACTCACGGGCAAAATGTTCGCGAGTGACTAAATTTCTAATGTTGGAGCGCAAATGTTTTGTGACAGGCTGAGCATCGACTGTACAACACAAATTTGTAACGGCATCCCAGCAGGGGCAGCGGGAGTAATTGCAGAGTAATTGCATAAAATCAGTATGGTTGTGAAGCTAGGCTTTGGCTTGAAAAACCACCCTGACTGGCTAACAAGGATAACACGTGTCCTACAAATAAGATAACCGTAGCCTAAATACTAATATAAATGGCTTTACGTAACTCTACTATTTATGTGCGGCCATTACGATACCAACGCCACGACTGCAACCGAAGCTTCACTGTAAGCAAAGCAAGCAGGCGGAAGAAGACTAGCATAGCAACGAGAATGCTCGCTTCCAACCACCCATTCCCGGGTAACGGATTCTTTATACCCGATAGCTCCAGAGTAGCCGCACACGAGCATGTGTTGGCAGTGGCAGCAGAGCTGTTAGAAGGCGATATGCCACAGTTACCAGTGTAGTATTCGGCAGAATCAAAGTTGATTCGCATTAACAACTGGCGAGTGGGAAATTGCGGCATGAATGGGCCAGGCAGCGGAAAGGGGTGGTGGGGAGGGGGGGACGATTGAGGGCAAATGAGTGAGCGTGCAAGAGGAAAGATGAAGCAAAGAACGCAGCCAATAAAGCAGTCCAGAGTGCAGCACGAACTGTAGCACAGGATGTAGCCCAGGCACAGAAGTGAAAGTATGGAAAGCGCGCAAAAGTACATAATATGGCTGAGGGCAAATATAGAGCTAACTATCTGGACCTTTTTTCTCTCTTTTTTATTTTGTAAGAGCACGCCTCTGATAAATGTGGGATTATTCAAGGCTCCAAGAAATGACTCACCTTGTTGACGTAGGTGGAGAAGGAGAGGTACTGCGTCCACCCCACCCAGTCGGGGGGACTGAGAGACAAGAAATGCACGACCATCACCGACAGCAGCTGCAGGATCGCCGCTATTGAGATCCCCTGTTTCACTGTAGACGATGCCGTGCCGACCGCCATCCCAATGGACGAAGCCACCATCGTATCTAGGATAAGGACGAGAGTGAATAAGACGAACCGGCCGCCCGACGGGTCCAGCCCGGTCATCCAGTAGACGATGAGGCTGTAGAAGACAGGTGGCAGGATCTCGTACGGCAGGCTGAGGAGCGTCCGGGCGGCGTAGTACGCGGAGATATGATACACGCCGTCCTCTTGCTCTTTTTGGACTGACTTGCGGTCTTCTAAAAAGGTGATGACGGAGGTGAGCATGGGCACGAGGCCCCAGAAGAACTGTGAGAAGAAAATCAGCCCTGCCAGGTCGCGAACTCCCTGGGCTGTGGTGGGGTCGCGCTTGTACCACAGGCAGCCTGGTGTGGATGGGGTGAGGTGGATTGGAGGGCTGTGAGGAGGTGATGACAGAGGTGAGCATGGGCACGAGTCCCCAGAAGAACTGAGAGAAGAAAATCAACGCCGCCAGGTCCCCAACCCCTTGCCCTGTGGTGGGGTCACACTTGTACCACAGGCAGCCTGAGGAGGGTGGGGTGAGAAGGATGGGAGGATTGTGGGGAGGAAGGTGATGAGGAAGGTGATGAGGAAGGTGATGAGGAGGGTGATGAGGAAGGTGATGAGGAAGGTAAGCATGGGCACGAGTCCCGAGAATGGGCACCACGCGAGTTGACAGACAGCACATGCCAACCAAGGTGACTGTTGAGGCGATTCAACCTTCCTCTTATACACGCACCTGGCAGTAAGGAGCACACAACCAGGCTTGCCGCCACCACACCCACGAAGATCCAGTCCTGATTCACCACCCGATACGACAGCACATGCCGCCGTGCCAGCACACGGAACTGGTAACCCCATGACGTCACCCACCTCTTCCCACTCCCCACTCCGCCTCCTCCCCCTCCTCCCCCACCCGCTCCTCCCCCTCCCCCTCCCCCCCCCCCCCCCTCCCCCCCCACTCGCTACCCGCCAGTCTGTAGTTGCATCTACATCCCTCACGCGAGTTCCCACACCCCCTTCCTCTCCCCCTCCTGTCCCCGCTCCCCCTCCTGCTCCCTCCCCTTCCTCAACATCCCCATTCCCAGCGTCTTTCCCCTTGCGTCTCTTAGCAGAGGCAGCAGCAGCAGAGGGCATGGCGGCTCGCTCTATCTCCCTGGCGGCGTCACCGGTGGCCCACAGGCGGATGAGGTTGGTGGACGTGCCGAAATGAATCGATGCGTCCGCTGCTTCGGGGGCCGTCAGGTCCTGAAAGGATGGGAAGGAAAAAGGGTGAGCGGAATGGTACAGGGGGGTAAGGGAAGAGTAAAAAAGTGGGGGAGAGCAGCAGGAGAAGAGGGCAGAGCACAACCAGCCAGTGAGCAGTGTGGTCTTTAGGCGCTCACCAGGACTAACTCGGCAGCACTAATGTCTGGGGCCATGGTGTGGCCAATGGAGTCAAATTAGGGCAGGGAAGGGAAGGAGTGGGCAGTCAGCGATTTGATGAGAAAGGAGCAGTGAGGGCACAGGCACTCACGAGGAAGAACTGTTTTGAGACGTCTCAAAACACTTCTTCAAACAAGGAGCAGTGAGGGCACAGGCACTCACGAGGAAGAACTCGGCAGCGCTGGTGTCCGGGGCCATGGTGTAGCCGATGGAGTCGAAGTAGGGGAGAGCGGCATCAGCCGCGCCGAAGAAGATGGGGTTTCCGTCGGTGATGAGGAGGAGGTGCGTGAAGAGAGAGAACATCTTGGAGGACGGCTGCTTCATTGTTGCTACCACTGATCTGCCTGCTAGCGCATATGAGTGCAGAGCTCTGGTTATGCGGAGAGCCATGGCACCATCGAGGCTGGGAAGAGGGTATTGAGGAAAAAGGGCGGAGGGATGGGAGAAAGAGGGATGGGAGAAAGCGGGAAGGGGAGCGGGTAGAGGGGAAAGAGAGCAAAGGGGGAAGAAGATGGGGTTGCCGGTGGTGATGAGAAGGAGGTGAGTGAAGAGAGAGAACATCTTTCATGATGGCGGCTTAATTGTTGGCACTACCGCCCGCCCCGCTAGCGCGTAGGAATGCAACGCTCTTATTGTAATGTGGAGCGCCCCGGCCCCATGGAGCCTGACAGGGGGGTTGGGAGATGCGGGCGCGAAGAGAGAGAACATCTTGGCGGAGGGGGGAAGAGGGTGGGAAGAGAGAGAACATCTTGGCGGAGGGGGGAAGAGGGTGGGAAGAGAGAGAACATCTTGGCGGAGGGGGGAAGAGGGTGGGAAGAGAGAGAACATCTTGGCGGAGGGGGGAAGAGGGTGGGAAGAGAGAGAACATCTTGGCGGAGGGGGGAAGAGGGTGGGAAGAGAGAGAACATCTTGGCGGAGGGGGGAAGAGGGTGGGAAGAGAGAGAACATCTTGGCGGAGGGGGGAAGAGGGTGGGAAGAGAGAGAACATCTTGGCGGAGGGGGGAAGAGGGTGGGAAGAGAGAGAACATCTTGGCGGAGGGGGGAAGAGGGTGGGAAGAGAGAGAACATCTTGGCGGAGGGGGGAAGAGGGTGGGAAGAGAGAGAACATCTTGGCGGAGGGGGGAAGAGGGTGGGAAGAGAGAGAACATCTTGGCGGAGGGGGGAAGAGGGTGGGAAGAGAGAGAACATCTTGGCGGAGGGGGGAAGAGGGTGGGAAGAGAGAGAACATCTTGGCGGAGGGGGGAAGAGGGTGGGAAGAGAGAGAACATCTTGGCGGAGGGGGGAAGAGGGTAGGAAGAGAGAGAACGTCTTGGCGGAGGGGGGAAGAGGGTGGGAAGAGAGAGAACATCTTGGCGGAGGGGGGAAGAGGGTGGGAAGAGAGAGAACATCTTGGCGGAGGGGGGAAGAGGGTGGGAAGAGAGAGAACATCTTGGCGGAGGGGGGAAGAGGGTGGGAAGAGAGAGAACATCTTGGAGGAGGGGGGAAGAGGGTGGGAAGAGAGAGAACATCTTGGCGGAGGGGGGAAGAGGGTAGGAAGAGAGAGAACGTCTTGGCGGAGGGGGGAAGAGGGTGGGAAGAGAGAGAACATCTTGGCGGAGGGGGGAAGAGGGTGGGAAGAGAGAGAACATCTTGGCGGAGGGGGGAAGAGGGTGGGAAGAGAGAGAACATCTTGGCGGAGGGGGGAAGATGGTGGGAAGAGAGAGAACATCTTGGCGGAGGGGGGAAGAGGGTGGGAAGAGAGAGAACATCTTGGCGGAGGGGGGAAGAGGGTGGGAAGAGAGAGAACATCTTGGCGGAGGGGGGAAGAGGGTGGGAAGAGAGAGAACATCTTGGCGGAGGGGGGAAGAGGGTGGGAAGAGAGAGAACATCTTGGCGGAGGGGGGAAGAGGGTGGGAAGAGAGAGAACATCTTGGAGGAGGGGGGAAGAGGGTGGGAAGAGAGAGAACATCTTGGCGGAGGGGGGAAGAGGGTGGGAAGAGAGAGAACATCTTGGCGGAGGGGGGAAGAGGGTGGGAAGAGAGAGAACATCTTGGCGGAGGGGGGAAGAGGGTGGGAAGAGAGAGAACATCTTGGAGGAGGGGGGAAGAGGGTGGGAAGAGAGAGAACATCTTGGCGGAGGAGGGAAGAGGGTGGGAAGAGAGAGAACATCTTGGCGGCGGGGGGAAGAGGGTGGGAAGAGAGAGAACATCTTGGCGGAGGGGGGAAGAGGGTGGGAAGAGAGAGAACATCTTGGCGGAGGTGGGAAGAGGGTGGGAAGAGAGAGAACATCTTGGCGGAGGGGGGAAGAGGGTGAGAAGAGAGAGAACATCTTGGCGGAGGGGGGAAGAGGGTGGGAAGAGAGAGAACATCCTGGCGGAGGGGGGAAGAGGGTGGGAAGAGAGAGAACATCTTGGCGGAGGGGGGAAGAGGGTGGGAAGAGAGAGAACATCTTGGCGGAGGAGGGAAGAGGGTGGGAAGAGAGAGAACATCTTGGAGGAGGGGGGAAGAGGGTGGGAAGAGAGAGAACATCTTGGAGGAGGGGGGAAGAGGGTGGGAAGAGAGAGAACATCTTGGCGGAGGAGGGAAGAGGGTGGGAAGAGAGAGAACATCTTGGCGGCAGGGGGAAGAGGGTGGGAAGAGAGAGAACATCTTGGCGGAGGGGGGAAGAGGGTGGGAAGAGAGAGAACATCTTGGCGGAGGGGGGAAGAGGGTGGGAAGAGAGAGAACAACTTGGCGGCGGGGGGAAGAGGGTGGGAAGAGAGAGAACATCTTGGAGGAGGGGGGAAGAGGGTGGGAAGAGAGAGAACATCTTGGCGGAGGGGGGAAGAGGGTGGGAAGAGAGAGAACATCTTGGCGGAGGGGGGAAGAGGGTGGGAAGAGAGAGAACATCTTGGCGGAGGGGGGAAGAGGGTGGGAAGAGAGAGAACATCTTGGCGGAGGGGGGAAGAGGGTGGGAAGAGAGAGAACATCTTGGCGGAGGGGGGAAGAGGGTGGGAAGAGAGAGAACATCTTGGCGGAGGGGGGAAGAGGGTGGGAAGAGAGAGAACATCTTGGCGGCGGGGGGAAGAGGGTGGGAAGAGAGAGAACATCTTGGCGGAGGGGGGAAGAGGGTGGGAAGAGAGAGAACATCTTGGCGGCGGGGGGAAGAGGGTGGGAAGAGAGAGAACATCTTGGCGGAGGGGGGAAGAGGGTGGGAAGAGAGCGGTTGAGAGCGGTTGAGGGGGGACCAATATGAGGGCAGGGCGCGGGGTATGCTCTGCACTCATATGACTGCACTCATGGCACCATCAAGACTGGGATTGTTTTGAGAACCAGTTCACTGCAGCGTCTCAAAACACTCCTTCTTTCTCATGGCACCATCAAGACTGGGATTGGGACTAGTATATATTGCAGTGAACTGGAATATTTAACAGTGTACTAGTATATGTAACACTGTACTAGTACATATAACAGTGTACTAGTATATGTAACAGTGTACTAGTATATATAGCAGTGTACTAGTATATATAGCAGTGTACTAGTATATATAGCAGTGTACTAGTATATATAACAGTGCGCTAGTGTGACAGTATACCACGGTAACCCCACAACCTACCCCGAAGTCGGTTCATCACAGCAGCAGCGGCAGATTGACGATCATCTGCACACTGATGGCCAGGCGCCTAAGCCACCACACACACCCCCCCATGTGACCATGCACCCCCCACTCACCCACCCCAACAGTGATCCCCTAACCCTCACCACCCACCCTGAGGTCGGTTCATCCGGCAGCAGCAGACAGCTGACAGCCAACACACACCCTGCATGCGACAATGCACGCGCAACACCGTAACAAGGTAACCCCACCCACTACTCACCCAGAGGTCGGTTCGTCCAGCAGCAGCAGCGGCGGGTTGACATGACGATCATCTGCACCCCGATGGCCAGCCGCATACACTCCCACATGTGACCATGCACCCCCCAGTCATCCCCTACCCCCCCGGTACCCACCCCGAAGTTGGTTCATCGAGCAGCAGCAGCGGTGGGTTAACGATCATTTGCACCCCAATGGCCAGGCGCCTGAGCTCGTTGTACAGCACTGCATTGCGCCCCGTGCGCCCTATCACCTTGTCCGCACAGCTGGGGAGGGGGGAGAATTGGAGGGAGAAGGAGAGGGAGTGAGGGGGGATTGGGGAGGATGGGGAGGGAGATGGGGGAATGGGGAGATGGGGTTGGGATAGTGCAGGTGCACCAGTCGGGTGTTTTTGAGAATTCTCAAGGGAACCTGTACCCTGGTGCACCAGTCGCCACGTGAAAGAAGGAGTGTACCAGTCGGGTGTTTTGGAGACGTCTCAAAACAAAAACACCCTGGTGCACCAGTCGCCACGTGAGACGTCTCAAACCAAAAACACCCGACTGGTGCACCAGTCGCCTGAGCTCGTTATACAGCACCGCGTTGCGCCCTGTGCGCCCTATCGCCTTGTCCGCACAGCTGGGGGGGTGTCATTAAAGGAAAGGGGAGGAAGTGGAAGGAGGGTGCGCATAGGGGGTAAGGGTTTGAGAGGTTATGGGATAAAGGGGCGGAGGAGGAAAGAAGAGTGCACCAGGCGCCTGAGCTCGTTGTACAGCACTGCATTGCGCCTCGTGCAACCTATCACCTTGTCCGCGCACCCACCTGTGCAACCTATCACCTTGTCCACCCACCCACCCACCCACCCACCCACCCACCCAAACCCCCTGCCAGCAGCACTCACTGTGTGAGCTACTGCGAGTCAAACACATGCTCCACTCGCACTCTCTGACTTTTGAGTCGACTCAAAAGTCAACTCGCGAGTCAAACACATGCTCCACTCGCACTCTCTGACTTTTGAGTCGACTCAAAAGTCAACTAGCGAGTCAAACACATGCTCCACTCGCACTCTCTGACTTTTGAGTCGACTCAAAAGTCAACTCGCGAGTCAAACACATGCTCCACTCGCACTCTCTGACTTTTGAGTCGACTCAAAAGTCAACTCGCAAGTCAAACACATGCTCCACTCGCACTCTCTGCACACCCCATGCACCCAGCCACCACCCTCCCCCCTTCCCATCTCAGCAGCACTCACTGTGTGAGCCGAAGCGCGTCTCAAGCTGAGCGTGAGTGAGCCGAAGTGAGTCCCGCTGCCCGCACATGCTCCACACCACACGCACCATCTGGTCCATCTCCTCCGTGCCCTCACTGCACCCCCCTGTGAGCAACCAGCACACCACCCATCTAATCACCCACCCACCCACGCAATCACTCATCCCCTACCCCATTCTCTACTCACTGTGTGAGCTCCAGTGAATCCAGCACATGCTCCACTCGCACGATCTGATCTATCCCCTCTGCGCCCTCACTTCTGCATTCCCACCCAACCACCGCAATACACCTGCCCATCTCCCCACCCAGCCCCATATACCCATCACCTCTCCCCCTCGTCCCTCCACTCACTGAGTGAGCTCCAGCGAGTCAAGCACATGCTCCACTCGCACGATCTGGTCGATCTCCTCCGTGCCCTCAGGCAGCCGCAGCATGGCCGCGAACATGAGCGTCTCCTTTACCTGCGGCCGGAAGGGGGGAGAGGGGGAAGGGGAGGGGGGGAGGGGGAAGGGGAGGGGGGAGGGGGAGGAAGGAGGATAAGATGGTAAGCACACTGATTCTTGGATCTCCTCCGTGCCCTCGGGCAGGCGCAGCATGGCTGCGAACATGAGCATCTGTTTCACCTGCCGGGGGGTGGAGGCGGGGGGGTGGATGAGGGGGAGAGGATGAGCGAGAGGAGGGGCGAGTGTCTCTGCAATCTCCTCCGTGTCCTCGGGCAGCCGCAGCATGGCCGCGAACATGAGCGTCTCCTTCATCTGCGGCCGGAAGGGGGGAGAGGGGGAAGGGGAGGGGGGAGGGGGTGGAAGGAGGAAAAGAGGTAAGCACACTGATTCTTGGATCACCTCCGTGCCCTCAGGCAGCCGCAGCATGGCTGCGAACATGAGCGTCTGTTTCACCTGCCGGGGGGTGGAGGCGGGGGGGTGGATGAGGGGGAGAGGATGAGCGAGAGGAGGGGCGAGTGTGTCTCTGCAATCTCCTCCGTGCCCTCGGGCAGCCGCAGCATGGCCGCGAACATGAGCGTGGGGTTGGGGTTGAAGGGGTGGGTGTGGAAGGGTGGAGTTGGGGTTGAAGGGGTGGGTGTGGAAGGGTGGGGGGAGCGGTTAGCTCCCTTGTTTGCTCTCCTCCGTGCCTTCTCCGTGCCCTCTCCATGCCCTCTCCATGCCCTCTCAGTGCCCTCAGGCAGCCGCCGCATGGCCGCGAACATGAGCGTCTCTGAGAGGAGGGAGGGCGGAGTTGGGGGAGGGAGATGATTCATAACGTCTTGCTCAACTGACCAAAACAAGTCATACTCACCGTCAGATCGCCATGCAAGCCAACCCCCACCGTCAGATCAACCAGCCAGCCAACCCTCGCCGTCGGATCACCCATCCAAAATCAATCCTCACGGTCAGATTGGCCTGCAGGTCGACGTCGTTCTCCACGAACCCAATCTCGCGCCTCAGCGTGGCCCCAAACGGCTTGCCGCTGTGCTCAATGCTCCTTCTTCTGCGCACCCCTCCCCTCCTACACCCAATCCTCCCGTGAACTTTGGCAGAGGAAGCTGGCTGGCAGAAGAAGCTGGCTGGCAGAAGAAGCTGGCTGGCAGAAGAAGCTGGCTGGCAGAAGAAGCTGGCTGGCAGAAGAAGCTGGCTGGCAGAAGAAGCTGGTTGGCAGAAGAAGCTGGCTGGCAGAAGAAGCTGGCTGGCAGAAGAAGCTGGCTGGCAGAAGAAGCTGGCTGGCAGAAGAAGCTGGTTGGCAGAAGAAGCTGGCTGGCCAGAAGAAGCTGGCTGGCAGAAGAAGCTGGCTGGCAGAAGAAGCTGGCTGGCAGAAGAAGCTGGCTGGCAGAAGAAGCTGGCTGGCAGAAGAAGCTGGCTGGCAGAAGAAGCTGGCTGGCAGAAGAAGCTGGCTGGCAGAAGAAGCTGGCTGGCAGAAGAAGCTGGCTGGCAGAAGAAGCTGGCTGGCAGAAGAAGCTGGCTGGCAGAGGAAGCTGGCTGGCAGAAGAAGCTGGCTGGCAGAAGAAGCTGGCTGGCAGAAGAAGCTGGTTGGCAGAAGAAGCTGGCTGGCAGAAGAAGCTGGCTGGCAGAAGAAGCTGGCTGGCAGAAGAAGCTGGCTGGCAGAAGAAGCTGGCTGGCAGAGGAAGCTGGCTGGCAGAAGAAGCTGGCTGGCAGAAGAAGCTGGCTGGCAGAAGAAGCTGGCTGGCAGAAGAAGCTGGCTGGCAGAAGAAGCTGGCTGGCAGAAGAAGCTGGCTGGCAGAAGAAGCTGGCTGGCAGAAGAAGCTGGCTGGCAGAAGAAGCTGGCTGGCAGAAGAAGCTGGCTGGCAGAAGAAGCTGGCTGGCAGAAGAAGCTGGCTGGCAGAAGAAGCTGGCTGGCAGAGGAAGCTGGCTTGCAGCTCACCCACGGACCATGAAGTGATCTTCACCGCCAGATCGCCCTGCAAGCCAACCCGCACCGTCAGATCACCCATCCAAACAAATCCTCACCGTCAGATTGGCCTGCAGGTCGACGTCGTTCTCCACGAACCCAATCTCGCGCCTCAGCGTCGCCCCAAACGGCTTGCCGCTGTGCTCAATGCTCCTTCTTCTGCGCACCCCTCCCCTCCTACACCCAATCCTCCCGTGAACTTTGGCAGAGGAAGCTGGCTGGCAGAGGAAGCTGGCTGGCAGAAGAAGCTGGCTGGCAGAAGAAGCTGGCTGGCAGAAGAAGCTGGCTGGCAGAAGAAGCTGGCTGGCAGAAGAAGCTGGCTGGCAGAAGAAGCTGGTTGGCAGAAGAAGCTGGCTGGCAGAAGAAGCCTGGCTGGCAGAAGAAGCTGGCTGGCAGAAGAAGCTGGCTGGCAGAAGAAGCTGGCTGGCAGAAGAAGCTGGCTGGCAGAAGAAGCTGGCTGGCAGAAGAAGCTGGCTGGCAGAAGAAGCTGGCTGGCAGAAGAAGCTGGCTGGCAGAAGAAGCTGGCTGGCAGAAGAAGCTGGCTGGCAGAAGAAGCTGGCTGGCAGAAGAAGCTGGCTGGCAGAAGAAGCTGGCTGGCAGAAGAAGCTGGCTGGCAGAAGAAGCTGGCTGGCAGAAGAAGCTGGCTGGCAGAAGAAGCTGGCTGGCAGAAGAAGCTGGCTGGCAGAAGAAGCTGGCTGGCAGAGGAAGCTGGCTGGCAGAAGAAGCTGGCTGGCAGAAGAAGCTGGCTGGCAGAAGAAGCTGGTTGGCAGAAGAAGCTGGCTGGCAGAAGAAGCTGGCTGGCAGAAGAAGCTGGCTGGCAGAAGAAGCTGGCTGGCAGAAGAAGCTGGCTGGCAGAAGAAGCTGGCTGGCAGAAGAAGCTGGCTGGCAGAAGAAGCTGGCTGGCAGAAGAAGCTGGCTGGCAGAAGAAGCTGGCTGGCAGAAGAAGCTGGCTGGCAGAAGAAGCTGGCTGGCAGAAGAAGCTGGCTGGCAGAAGAAGCTGGCTGGCAGAAGAAGCTGGCTGGCAGAGGAAGCTGGCTCGCAGCTCACCCACGGACCATGAAGTGATCTTCACCGCCAGATCGCCCTGCAAGCCAACCCCCACCGTCAGATCACCCATCCAAACAAATCCTCACCGTCAGATTGGCCTGCAGGTCGACGTCGTTCTCCACGAACCCAATCTCGCGCCTCAGCGTCGCGCCAAACGGCTCGCCGCTGTACTCTATGCTGCCGCGGAAGTTGGCGTCGCCCTCCAGCCGCCCCGCCAGCATGTGCAGCAGCAGCGACTTGCCTGATCCCTCGGGGCTGAGAGCGAGGGGAGGGGAGGGGAGGGGGAGCAAGGGGAAGGGAAGGGGGGAGGAGAAGGGGAGGAGGAAGTGGAGGGAGGGGAAGGGAAGGGAGGGGAGGGGAGCGAGAGAAAGCGAGGGAGGGGAGCGAGGGAAAGCGAGGGAGGAGAGGGAGAGGAGGGGAGGGAGGTGAGGGAGGGGAAGGAGCCACTCCCCCCGTAAGGTTCATCACGACCTTGTTGCGAGTCGCACATGCAATCAACAATCCCATCCCACTCGCTCACTCACCCCATGACGGCCAGCCGGTTGCCTGCCAGGCGCCTACCCCCCCTGACGTTCATCATGACCTTCTTGCGGTAGATGGTGGCACACGCGCTCACCCATCCCAACCTCACCCCACACTATCCCACACCTACTCACCCCAGCAACCATCCCACACTCACTCACCCCATGATGGCAAGGAGATTGCCCGGCGCCACGCCCCCCGTGACGTTCATCATGACCTTCTTTCGGTAGATGGTCGCGTCGTCCTCCGCGCGCACGCAGCACCACTTGGACTGGCGGGCGGGGCCATGCGGGGAACGGGGAAAAGGATGCGGGGATGGATGGTGTGGGTGGGTTGAAGGATGGGCGATGGTAGATGGTCGCGTCGTCCTCCTCGCGCGCGCAGCACCACTTGGACTGGCGGATGGCCGGAGCGACGGGGGCGGAGGGGAAGGGAGAAGAAGGAAGGGGGGGGAGAGAGTTGGGGAAAAGCGGGGGTGCGAAGGGGGGAGGGGCGGGAGAAGGGATCACGATCTCCGTGCGCACGCAGCACCACTTGGACTGGCGGACGGGGGGGGATGGGACGATGGGGGGATGGGGGGTGTGGGTAAGGGGTAGATGGGGGATGGTAGATGGTCGCGTCGTCCTCCCGACCATTGGATGCCGATGTGCCGTATGATTATTATTTTCCTGAAAATGCTCAGATAATTGTGTTTAATAACTGTTCAAAAACTAGTGATAAGACACGCTTCAGGGACGCACATTGGCTGCCGGCACGGAGTACTGTAGCCGTGTCCACGTCACCGACATCCCTTCTGCGACGAACCCCCTTTGCGACGGCTGCGACGCCAGCGCCTTAACGGCTGCGACGACTTTCCTGTCGCGCCGCTCCGTCTGTGCGATGACTGTCGGCGCCTTCCTTCCGGCCACCACCTTCGCGCCGCCATCTCCATCCGTTATGAGGTTCGACACTTCATGCATATCCTTATCCATTGTAACAGAAAGCGCTTATCTCTGTAATGCGGCTATATAACGAAATAAAAGTGTTTACGCTATCATAAGAATCAAGCTACTGGCTTCGTGTTATACGCAAGAGAGACAGAATCTACCTGATCTCAATTACCAGTAATACATCCTGCTTCGGGCACAGAATACTTAACCGAATTCCTCGAGCATCCTAGAATATAGCTACTACCCTATCATAATATATAGACCCTAGTCGTACCCTCTCATGTGGTAGCAGGTTCTCAAGACATTTGCATAACTACTAGTCGACTAGGAAAGGTGGTTCAACAAAGCTCAAGGCAAAAGCAATCCTCGATATAATGGCCAATCAGGTGGGGAGAGGGAATGCCGCGTGGGTCATTTCCGTGGTCCAACTGCCAAGAATGCTGTCCCACGTGGTATCCAGACGAATGACGACTCTCGGTGATTGGTTCCAATTCCAAGCTGGTGTAATGGAACAAGGGAAGTTCGACCTTCTCCGCTTGCGTGGCACCTCAAAAAAGGAGAGGGAACGAGAATTCGGGGCGTTCTC